GCCGCCGGGACCCCGCCGCCGGGCCGCCCCTGCTCGCCACGACCCTGCAGCTGGGTGGCGGGGTCCGGGGGCGCCCCTGTGGCCCGGCTTTGTCGCCCAGGCGCCGCGTGTCATTCCCCGCCCCGAAGGCGCCGAGACTCGAGCGCGATTGGTGGGGCAGGTCCCGGTCCGATCGGCCGCCGCTGTCCTTGTTACGGAATCGTGCCGGGACGGGGCGCGCAAACTTCTCAAAAAGTAGATCGGAAGCTAAGCAGAAGTCACATTTTTTTTTAACTTTCGTGGATGCGATCCTAACGTTTTGTATCAGGCTTGAGCTACTTTGTTTCTCCCGATCGTGCGTTTTAGGAGTAATGGTTGATGCGAAGTGTAATTAAGATTTTAACTCGTCTTTTAGCTTGACTAATTGGGTGTGTAGATTCTTCATTTGTCAGTCAAGGGCAATAGCTGGTCGCAAATTACACAATGTAAGAAGCTCTTTGAATTAGCTACGACCTTAGAGATCAGCTTTCCAGCCAAGTCTGACAGGTGACAGGGGCTTAAAGGAACAGACGTGCCCGTGGTATAACAGCTGGTTTGAAGCAGTCAGCGATGAAAATGTGAAATTCTCCTAACTTCCGGTCTAGTCCTTTCCCTTAAGCCTTAACAGGGGTATTTGATAAAGCAATTCCTCGGTGTGTAACAGTAATCAAAAACATCTTGAAATGTAGCTTTACAAAAGTACTCCTTTTAAAGAGTTGTTTGTTGCCAGGCGTGGTGGTGCACACCTGTAATCCCAGCGCTGGGGAAGCTGAGGCAGGAGTTACAAAGTTGTGAGTTACAAAGTGCGCTCAAGGCCAGCCTGAACTGCATAGCAAGACCCTGTCTCAATAAGAAAAGAAAAAAAGGAAAGAAAAGAGTTGTTGTTTTTTTTTTTTTTTTAAATAGCACCCACATGTTCAAATGTTTGTTGATGGTATCGGCCAGTTGGAGACTGTAAAAGTTTGTTTCTGAGGGATTTGAGTTTCAGCTGGACACAGGACATAAGTGCAGCCAGAGCTGAAAGGTGCTTTAGAGAGCCCTGTGGTTTGCCCTTGTTTTATGAAGTGGGAAGATTGGTGCCAGTGCAGTTGCTGTCACTTAACCGAAGTGGAGCTAAGTGAAAGGCCCCTACTGGTTTCCTACCCCCAGTAGACGTTACTCACAGGCTTTATGATTTCACATCTGTGGTGAGGCTTTATGTATTTCTCTTCTGCCGCCAGATCACGGGACCTGATAATAAAGGGATTTACAAAGGAGACCGCGAGTCCAGTGGGAAGTACACATTTGCTGCTCACATGGACGGGACATACAAGTTTTGTTTCAGTAATAGGATGTCTACCATGACTCCGAAGATAGTGATGTTCACCATCGACATCGGGGAGGCGCCGAAAGGACAAGACATGGAAACAGAAGGTGAGATGAACATTTGGAAGGTTCTAGTCCATTCCAAGAGCTGAGTTTAATTCTGTACACTTTAAAAAAAATTCTTATTCTCGGTCCATTCATTGTTCTTGACCCAAAAGCTTGTTGTGAAATATACTGTAACTTTTACTTATTTATGTCTCTTAATTGACAAAGTTTCTGGAAGTTAATTTGTTGTTGCTGTTCTTTCTGTTTTGCCCTCTGGCAGCTTTTCTTTTCTTTTTTTTTTTTTCCATCTTTTTGAGACAGGGTCTCGCTCTGCAGTTCAGGCTGGCCTTCAGCTCACTTTGTAGCCCAGGCTGGTTTGGAACTCACAACGATCCTCCTGCCTCAGCCTCCCGAGTGCTGGGATTACAGGCGTGCGCCCCTACGCCCGGCACTCTGTCAGCTTTTCTTAGCACTTTGTGCTCCTGTGAGCATCTAAGTTACATGTGTCTTAGGTTGTTCTGTTAATTTGCTAATCCTGGCATATATTCCTTTATTTGCTCATTCTTAGATATAACTAATATATATATATGTATATGTATATATATGCATATTTTTCAGTATTTTTGTTTATATCTCACACTTTTCTTTAGGTGGTGGAGATACCTGGGATGGTATGTGGAATGATTTTTGATAGCTTTTTTTGCATTTTTGTTTGCTAATGTCTAATTTCTGCTTTCCTGTTCTTTAACTCAGTTTGTTGGCATGAGAGTGTTTTCTCTTTTAAAAAAGCCCTACAACTAATTTAATTATGTTTTGGTGGTTTATTTGGTTGATAAGAGCGATGGGTTAGGTTTTTAGAATTTTTGAGACAGGGTTTCTTTATGTAGTCCAGGCTGCCTTTGAACTTGCCACATAGTCCAGGGTGATGTCAGCCTTCGAAGTGCAGGGACTACAGGTGTATACTACATGCGAGAGACGTAATTAAACAAGGCAACTGCAAATGGTGCTTTTGATTTTGTAGAAGGTGTTTTATAGATTTGGTTATTATTATTAAAAGTTTCTGATTTGAAGTGTGGTTAGCTGTGAAATGTAGTTAAAAGGCCATGTGTAGCTAATAATGAAAAAAGGTCTTTTGGCCATGGGTTCAGATAGATTGGTTGTTCAGCTGAGCAGTAGTAAATGCTAATTGGTTCTTCTCCATAAATTGCTTACTAAAAATCAGCACCCTCCCCTGCTTTTACTAGGGGTTTTGGAAGCTAGCAGTTGTTTAAAATTCCATAGTATGGGGCTGGGGATTTAGCTCAGCGGCACAGCGCCTGCCTGGCAAGTGCAAGGTCGTGAGTTCGATTCCCAGTACTGGAGAAAAACAAACAAACAAAAATTCCATAGTATTAGCATGATAACATGTGCCAGATATTTCACAATTAATAGCATACTAACATGAAGAATGTGACAGATTTGTGGAGTTGTGAAATCTGTGCAATCGAGAGTTACGCTACTTAGTAATTTTTTTTTTTTTTTTTTTTTTTTTGAGATAGTGTCTTGCTCTGTTATTTAGACTGACCTTGAACTTACTATGTAGCCCAGGCTGGCTTTGAACTTGCAGTGATTCTCCTGCCTTGGCTTCCTGAGTGCTGGTATAGTAGGCCTGTGCCCAGCTACTTAGTAATTCTTGTGCATTATTTTTTAGGGCCACTGTTTTGTGGCCCTAAAGTTGGGTTTGGCTAATTTTTTTTGTATCCAGAATTGAGGGACCTTGTGCTTGTCAGGCAGGCACAGTGCCACTAAGCTAGATCCCTGGCCCCACCTGGCTAATTCTCAAGGTAAATTAGGGTTTTTTTTTTTTGGTGGGGGTAGGGTACTTGGAGTCAAACTCAGGACCTCACAGTTGCCAGGCAGGTCCTGCACCACTGTGCTAAATCCCCAACCCAAATTAGGGGTTTTGAAGGGCTTTGTGTTTGTTCATTTTTTGAAAATTGGTCTCATTTAAATGGTCAGAAAACCATTGTGCATGGTGGAATTGAACTTAAGTAATTCTTTAATACAGTTTCTAAAATTTTTGCTTTGCTTGTTAATGTCAGTGAACAGCAGCTGTCAACTTGAGCCTTCCTCTGAAGCAGGGCTTCCCAGTGGGCGATGATCTTTGCTCCTGGGGGAGACACTGTTAAGGGCCAGACTAAAGGGGGTGGGTGCTGCTGGCCTCCCAAGGCTGTTGGTGCTGCTGCACATCCTCCAGTGCGTTGGGCAGCTCCCCACAGCAAACACGGGCCAGTTGGTCCTCATGTCAGCAGTGCCACTCCTGAGACACTCTGCTGTGAAGGTTTTGTACGGTGCATGGGACTTCCAGTGCGAAGCCCGCGAGGGTGCTTTGCGATTCCAGTTCCACGCCCTTGCGAGGGGCTGTGGCTTTGCTCTCCTTTAGGATCACCTGTGGTGAGCGGGGGGTCCCGGGTGAGGCCGGGGCTTGGGCAGGGCTGAGGAGCTTCCCGCCTCCCCCTGTGGATTCTTCCTTGTCAGGATGCAGCTAACTGGAAGCACAGTCTCCAGGACCAGTCTTGTATTCAGTTTTGGTAAAGGGGACTACATGGCTACAAACTTGTAGGTTGAGCTTGTCTGTTCCCCACTGAGGCGAAAATACTACTTTGTCACAGAAACATGTTTGAGTTGGCACAGGTTTTCTGAAGAGTTTACTTGTTTTTCTCTGCTTAGTTTCATAGAGTTTAAAAGTCTTATTTTCAAGTTACTCCTAAATTAGAATTATGTGATTGTTTTTTTTTTTTTTTTGGTAATGGTATTGGGGATTGAACACAGGGCCTTTGCAATGACCTATGTCCCCATTCCTTTTTTACTTTATTATTATTTTTTTTAGTCTTGTTTTGAGACAGGGTCTTGCTATGCAGTTCAGGCTGGCCTTGAGCTCACTTTGTAGCCCAGGCTGGTCTCGAACGCATAACAATCCTCCTGCCTCACCCTCCCGAGTGCTGGGATTATAGGCATGTGCCGCTATGCCCAGCTTTACTTTATTTTTGAGGGCGGGTCTTGCTAAAGTATCCAGGTTGAGCTCACATTTATAATCCTCCTGCTTCAGCCTCCAAGAGTGCTGGGATTGTAGGCATACGTCATCATACCTGGTTTATGTGATTTTTAAAAATAGATTTCAGTTTTAGTTTTGTTTTTGAGTCAGGGAATCACTGTAGTTCAGGCTGGCCTTAAACTCATTAGTAACCCTGGCTGGCCTCGAACTCGCACAATCCTCCTGCCTCAGCCTCTCAAGTGCTGGGATTACAGGTGTGCACCACCACACCCAGCTTTCATTTAAATTTTGTTATTCATACGATTTAGGGTTTCAGAAATATATACTTATTTGTGTGCTGTGTTTTTCCTCTGTCATCTCTGTAGTTAGCAGTCAGAATCATGAACTTGATGAGACAGCATCAGTTCATGAGCAGACATCTCTCCGGGTTTTCCTGCAGTCAGTACTGAAAAGTGTGCTTCCTATTCAGGGGGTGTTTCTCTGCGGAGAATGGGCTTCATTTATTTGTTTGTTTGTTTTTTTTGAAGACAGGGTCTCGCTATGTAGTTTACGCTTGGTCTGAGAATGCACTTTAAAGAGATGTTCTGAGAGTTAAATTGTCTTTAATGATTCATAATGGTGGTCCAGGATTGTCGCCTGCTCCATTTCTAAAAGTAGCGTCTTCCGACCTTCTCTGGGGAGTACACGGCTGTGTCGTACGTCTTTCTCTTACGATGCCCGGGCGTCCGCTGATGTGCTCTTGTCCCCCACAGCTCACCAGAACAAGCTGGAAGAGATGATCAATGAGCTGGCAGTGGCAATGACAGCTGTGAAGCACGAGCAGGAGTACATGGAAGTCCGGGAGCGGATACACAGAGCCAGTGAGTTCACAGTGCGGCCGCAGCGGCGCCGGTCCTGGGGGTGGTCTTGCAGCTCGCACAAGTCCTCATTCACAAATTATGCAGACAGAGTCGTTCTTCGGCTTTTTTGGGGTGGGGTGGGGTACTAGGGTCAAACCCATGGGTACTCTACCAGTGAGCTACAGCCACAGAGCCCTTTTTAAAATTTTGAGAAAGGGTCTTGCTGAGTTTTATAGGTTGGCCTTGAATCTTGGATCCTCCTGCCTCAGCCTGTCAAGTAGTTGGGATTACAAGCAAGTGCTACCACACTTGGCACATGTGACTTTTTTAAATAAAAGCACCTACACAAAGATTTTTTGTGTATACACATTGGTGTTTGTTTGAGACAGGTTCTTGCTATGTCATTCTGGCTGGCCTTGAACTCACTATGTAGCCCAGGCTGGCCTTAATCAAACTTGGAGTGATCCTCTTGCCTCAGCCTCCTGAGGGCTGGGATTATAGGTGTTTGCCACCAAACCTGGCTTAGTATACACATTTGTAGAATTTTGTACTAAGGTAGTTTATTATTGGAACAGTCATTCTGTACCAAAAATACTACTAAGATTCAGCATAAGCTTTTAAGAGTTTAAAAGGATTTATTTATTTATTTTTTAGAAGTTTGAAATTTTTTAAAAATTAAAAAAAAATATCATGATTAGCTGAGGATTAAGCTAATAGTTTTCTTAAAGGATGGGGGATGGCACTGGGCATATAGCTCAGCGACACAGCGCCTGCCTGGCAAGCACAAGGTCGTGAGTTCGACTCCTGTTACCCCCCCAAGAAAAAAGAAAAAGGATAGGGGGGAAAACATTGCAAGTCTTTTTTTCTTTTCTTTTTTGGCAAGCACTTGTGCTGCTGAGCTCTATCCCTGGCCCTGAGTTACCATATTGCTATGCAGACCAAATACTGTATTTTCAACCCAACTTGTACCTGTTGTTCAGCAGCTTTCACCCTCCTGGTAGCTCCTGTGTGTAGATCTCGCCAGGAACCCGAGCCCTGGTCCTAGAGTGCAGAGTGATTCGGTCGTCCGTCTCTGTTCCAAGTGGAGGCGCTACAGAGATGAGCACAGCTCCAACACCTGCCTGCCGTGTGGGGGTCTCCTCTTCCCACCCCAGAGTAGCTTCCCTCACCTGTGCAGGTGATACGGATGCGGGAGGCTGCAGAGCACAGACTGTCCTGCCTCTTGCACAGTTTTCCCCTCGCCACCTCCTCTTCTCACCTCTGAGATGGTCACCTCTTCCCCTTGCCTGCTAGGAACACTTTTGTTGCTAACTTGCTCCCAGGGGGAAGCCATCCCATTCTGGGGTGAGAAGCTGGCGGGTAAGGACATTCACTGCTTTGTAGTTTTGACAGGTGAGACACGGGACTGTAAATGTAGACAAAGGTCCCGGGAACACAAGGCCCAGAGAAATCACTCGTCTTCTAGTCTGTAGGGGTGTCCAGCTTTGTTTTCTTGCCCTCAGTGAAGATACTTTTTATTTTTTATTTTTTTTGTAGGATTGAATTTTCAGATACTCACTTTAGTTTTGGAGGTGCACTGGTTCTCACAGGGGTGATGTTCGTGTATCTCCCACACTGTGCACCATGACGACGGTGAGGAGACCTTGTGTTCCAGAAGTGCTGTGGTGCGCTTGGGGGCCTCCAGGCCACGCTCCTTCGTGCGCAGCAGGAGGGCAGCATTTTACACATACTTTCTTAGTGGCTGCGTTCCTTTGTTACGCTTCTGTTTGTTCTCTGTAGATGCATTTTTCTATGGAGAAAGAAGAGGTTAATATTTTTCACCTTCACAAATAAGAGACCATGTGGCAAATTCTCAGGCAAAATATGATAACAAAATTAGAGAGAAAGCTGGGCGTGGTGGTGCATGCTTGTAATCCCAGCACTCTGGAGGCTGAGGCAGGAGGATCACCGTGAGTTTGAGGCCAGCCTGGGCTACAAAGTGAATTCAAGGCCAGCCTGAACTGCATATCAAGACTCTGTCTCAAAAAGACCAAAAAAAAAAAAAAGGAGGGAAAAAGAGTGAACACATATTCAGATTGAAAATTTGAGAAATATGGAAAAGTATAAAGAAAGATATAAAAACTGTTCATCCTGTAATACCAACATCAGAGAGGCTGAAGGATGAGGATTGCAAGTTCAAGTCCTGCCTGGGCAACTTAGCAAGACTGTGTCAAAGTAAAAGGGTTGGGAGGATGTCGTCAGTGGTAGAGCGCTCCCCTAGTCTACACTGAAGATAATCACTGTTAACTGATTTTCTTGTTTTTTTGAACTGGAGAGTGAACCCAGGGCCTTCACACTGAGCTTAATCCACACGTATTTTTTATGTATGTTTTTATTTTGAGAGTGGGTCTTGCTAATAGGCTAGAACTTGGCATTCTTCTGTCTCAGCTTCCCATGGTGCTAGGATTACAGGTATACACCATCATACTGGGCTGTTATATTTAAGTTTTAAATTTTTAAATTTATTTTGAGGGAGGGATGATCCTGGGGATTGGATTTAGGGTCTTCACACTGAACTGTATCCCCAACTCCACCCATTCATTCATTCATTTTTGGTGATACTAGTGATTAAACCATTGGCCTTGACACTGTGCTATGTTTCCATCTCTCTCTCTCTTTTTTTTTTTTTTTTTTTAAATTTTGAGACAGGGTCTCACTAAGTTACCCTTGCAGCAGTTAAACTTGAGATTCTCCTGCCTCAGTCTCCCAGAAGTGCTGGGATTACGGATGTGTGCCACTGTGTCCAGCTAGCTTGCTTTTTCCCTAAAAACAGGAATTTTGACATAAGTGAGTAAAACTATATACACAGGGCTGGAGATACAGCTCAGTGGTGCAGTGCCTGCCTGGGAAGCTCAAGGTCCTTAGTTCGATTCCCAATACCTGCAGAAAAACAACAGCAACGTCCCCCCACAAAATTATACATATAATTTTATATCCTGTTTCTTTGTAGAAACTCATTTTGCCAGGTGTGGTGGTGTATGATGCCTGTAGCCCCAGCACTCAGGAGGCTGAGGCGGGAGAATCTCCAAGATCTCGAGGCCAGCCTAGGCTACATAGTGAGTTCAAGGATAACTTGAACTGTATAGTGAGACCCTGTCTCTCTCTCTCTCTCTCTCTCTTTTTTTTTCTGGTACTGGGAAGCGAACTTAGGACCTTGCACTTGCCAGGCAGGCACTTATGCCACTGAGCTATATCCCCAGCCCTGACCCTGTCTCAAAAAACGAAATGAAACAAAACACAAAAGAAACTCATTTTTCCATACCTCTAAAACACCTTTAATAGTTGTTTAATGTTTTGAAGTATTTATTCAACCATTCCTCTTTCAGACAATCCTTACATGATAGTCATTCATAGTTATGCTAAAATGTAGCAGAAGTGAGCTTCTCATATTATGGAATTAGTACATTTCAGTAATTTTGAATTTATCTTTGATGGGTCGTATGGTCTAGTTAATGTTCTGGGCATTTGTTCTTATTTTGGAAAAAAACTTACATGAGTTTTGAGCAACAAAATTATCCTTTTGGAAAAATGCTACGTGCTTTTTACTTCTGAGTGATTACAGATCTGTTCAGTCTTTTTTTTTTTTTTGGTCTTTTTTGAGATAGGGTCTTGCTATGCCATTCAGGCTGGCCTTGAGCTCACTTTGTAGCCTAGGCTGGTCTTGAACTCACAACGATCCTCCTGCTTCAGCCTCCCTAGTGCTGGGATTACAGGCGTGCACCACCGTGCCTGGCCTGTTCAGTTGTATAACCAGCATATATCTAACAAAATGGCAGCCACTTATTCAGCTAGTTAATACTGTATCACTAATTGTACCTGTTTTTGACATTCGGCCATTTACGGAGAAGTTGGGAACTACTTAGTGGTTTATAGAAGTAACAGTAGAAAAATCACTGTGCCAGGTGGAAATGTGACAAGGTGAGCAGAGGGAATGTAATGCAGTCCTGTGTTTTCCTTTAAGGGTCAAATCCTTAGCTTGAGAATGCGTTAAGCGGTGAGGATAGTTTGTCTTATTCTTGGCAGTCTTACAACTGCTGTAATCACTCCATCAAACTGAGAAGCTTCTCCCCTCTAGAATAAAAGCCAGGCACATAGTAGGTGCTCAGTAAATATTTTGTTGAATATTTAAGGAAAAATGCACTTAGACTGGCATATTTTGACTAGGTAGATAGTGCTTTTTGTTAAACTCTGATCTTGAAATAATCCTTATTTTTTCTTTTTTTTTTTTTTTTCCCTCCGGTACCAGGAACCGAACTCACGACCTTGCGCTTGCCAGGCAGGCGCTTTTGCCGCTGAGCTAAATCCCCAGCCCCATAATCCTTATTTTTTCTTAAGATCAGTTTTCTGATTCAGCTAGAAGTATTATAATGTAGGACATTTATGGTGCGAGAGAAAGAGGGTTGGACTGGAGATTGACCTGGAAAGTGTGACCTTGGCAGTCACATTTGTGCCCTGGTCCCTGGACTTCCGCACAGTAGGCTGGGCTGTACTCAGAGATTATGGTCCTTTTCAGAGCTAAACATCTCTGCTTCCGAGTGTGCTGAGTTATCTGAGGACAGAGGGCCTGTGCGTGGTGTGCAAAGCAGTACTGTGTAAAGCCTAGGGAGTAATTTATAGTGCTTATTTCTTCTGGGGGATTGTTGTTAATTTTTTTTTTTTTTTTTGTCTTCAACAGTCAACGACAACACAAACAGCAGAGTGGTCCTTTGGTCCTTCTTTGAAGCTCTTGTTCTAGTTGCCATGACATTGGGACAGATCTACTACCTGAAGAGATTTTTTGAAGTCCGGAGGGTTGTTTAGAAGGCCTTTCTTCATGATCCCAAACTCATAATTCACCTGTTTACCAAACAGCTTGGTTACGATAGTGTCATTAGTTTCTATATTTTTATTTTTGGAACTGTACATTCACAGCTTATGTTTCTTTGTGATTAATAGATACTGGGAGGAAAACATTTTTTAGGAAAGTTATAGTGAAAATTTGACATTTGATTGGCATAAAATTTATTTGAATGCCGCCTTCATTAAACAGGTCCTTCCAGAATTCCAATACTGTAAACAGAGTACAGGCATATAGTTTTTTATTATACCTTTTCTGTTTGTTTTCATTTAAAAATACAGTTTGTTCAGGAAATTGGCACAAAGCCTGATAGACCTTTACTAAAATGACTGCAGTCTCTGGACGTCCTCCTCCTGTGGCTAGAGTTATTAAAGATTAAAGATTCTTTTTGCCCAGCTGTTACATGACATAACAATTTCTTTCTCTTTTTTTTGGTACTGGGAATCGAACTCAGGTCCTTGTGCTCGCTAGGCAAGCGCTGTGCCTCTGAGCTACATCCCAGGCCAAAACAAGGATTTCAGTCTTGACATTTTTTGCCCAGTGTAACGGCAGAGCGCTCTGACTTAGGAGTGCAGGCTGGTCCTTTTACACTTTCCCTTAGTATGCTTCAGTCTGAGACTTGCCCCAGCACACATTTCCCCCTAAATTTCCCCATTCAACCTTAGGACTGACCACCACGCATAAATTGGTGATGTGAGCGGCTAAGCTAACCGTTGTGTGGTTTCTGCCTAGCCTCCTCAGAAGCCCTGTTCAGCCCGTTCCCTGGTGTCTCAGCAAACGCCAGCTGCTCTGTGCACTGGCACATCCCGTGTCTCCACTCTTGGCATGTAGGACATACGCAATCGCATCGCTGGAAAAATCTGGGTTTCTGATGCCAAAGTGTTACAGCCTCGGGTTTCTTTGCGGTGATAAAGAGCCACTATTTTATTTTTCATCTGTGGCCTCTTCGGGTCACTTCAGGGCACTGAACACCAGTGTCAGCACTCTGGGTCTTGTTTTTGTTTCTCCTGGGTCTTTCTTTTTTTGGCACATGTGAATTTTGTTTTATATAAAATGAAAAGGCTTTCTCTTGCTCTCTGATGATGGGTTTAAGATTAAAGGAGCTTCTGGGTTTGGTGTGGGAGTGATCCAAGATTATGTTGTAACTGAGGTATATTGGTTACTTGTACATTTTTTTTTGGATCTTTGCAAGGGGGAAACTATAAGTAACAATTTTATATAGTTAATTTAAATTTGTTACAGGTTTTCATGTTCAGGACAATTTTTCAACCTTGGGTGAAAATACTTGCAACAGTTTACTGATAAGGTGACTGTTTCATCTTGGGACAACTGTTGCATGCCAATTTTTCTTTGTGTGTGGAAACACTTCAAAATTGAATTAAAGGCTGGGCGTGGTGGTGCACACCTGTGGTCCCAGCACTCAGGAGGCTGAGGCAGGGGAATGGCTGTGAGTTCAAGGCCAGCGTGGGCTACAGAGTGAGTTCAAGGCCAGCCTGAACTGTATAGCAAGACCCTGACTCGAAAAGATGAAAAAAAATTGAATTAAAAATGTAAATTTAAAATTGATTGTGTATCTAATATGCCCCAGGTTCAGTAAATAAACAATTCTTTTTAAAAACATTCAGTGTTCTGTGTTTTTATTTGGTTGGTTGGTGTGTGTTTTATGTATTAATGATGGTTAGCTCACCTTTTTTTTTTAGTACCAGGAATCGAACTCATGACCTTGCCCTTGCCAGGCAGGTGCTGTGTTGGCTGCTGAGCTGTATCCCTGGCCCTGACTCACATTTGTTAAATCCAACTTTCTGCTGAGATGAGACATTTCCATGTTTTATGTAATTATACCTGCTATAAATGAGGATAGTGAAGAGGAGCCCAATTTTAGTTTCCATTTTTTTTGTAGTTTGAAAAAAAGTATGAATTTGTGTCACAGAACCATCTTGTTTATGGATATGGGAAATAGAGTGGAGAGTAAATGCGTTGCTCAAGGTCCCAGGTGGAGGAAAAGGTGGAGCTGGGACCTCTTCCTGTAGGGCCTGTCCCTCTTCCTTACAGCGGGCTGGGAATCAGAGCGACCCCACTATGAGCACCATGGAAGAGCCTGGCCTGGTGCTAAATGCATTCCATGCTTTGGCTTATTTATGCCTCAACGCTGCCATTACTTTGGGTAGAATCATTTTGGGAATGAGGGACTGGGCTTGCGAAAGGTTTGAAGATTAGAAAACTAGCAAGAGGGGCAGGAGGCCAACAGCACTTGCTTCGGAGCTGTCTGGAAGTGTCCTGCAAGGATCCTTCCGGTGTGCGTGTCTCAGGCTTCTCTTTGCCTTTGAGGTGACAGCAGCCTGCTTGAGTACTATTTCTTCCATTTATTCATCTTTTGAGCCCTGTATGCAACAGTTACAGTGAAAGAAACACTCTACTGTTGAGGGCCTAATTTTAGTGGGGATGAGACCTTCCACATACAGTGCCAACGGGTAGGCGCCATGGTGGGAACATAAAGCAAGGTACGAGGTTTAGTGATTGGAAAGCCACTACCGAGGCGGTGACATTTGAAAAGTGAAGGATGTGCTGGATTTGGTGGTGCAGGCCTGTAACCACAGCACCTAGGAGGCTGAGGCAGGAGGTTCCTTGTGAGGTGCAGGCCTGCCTAAACAACAAAAAAGTGAAGCCAGTGAGGGAGCGAGGCGCGCACGCATCAGGAGGGGTTTGTCCCCGGAGCCCAGCGAACGTGTGACACACGCGTGGCACGCGGCGGGAGCACAGGGCTGGAAGACCTCTCGAGGAGGACTCCGGCCGTAACTTCCCGGAAGGAAGCCACTGTTCACACCGACCGGGCGCTGGTGCTCACGGTCCGCCCTGTCCCGCGTCTTTGCCCACCCGGGGCTTCCGGACGTGGAGTTGTGCTGCCACTTGCCTCCGACTGGTGGAGGAAATGCAAGGGCCGGGCCAGGGCCCCTCCCGCCCAAGTGGCTGGTCAAGTTTCGGAGCGGCGGCCGCAGCCAGGGCGACGAGAACTCGGCCGCCGCTCGGCCGTTTCCGCTGTCCCGCGGCGGCTCTCCTCGCGCCGGGGGCGGAAACAGTTTCCTCGCGCTAGCTCCGGAACCTCGCAGCTCGGGTACGGTTCCCGGCCGGATGCCGAGCTCCCGGAAGCAGAAGTGCTTGCTGGAGTTACTCTGGCGGCGCTCCGGGTGCGACCGGGGTTGCGAGGAGAGCGCCATGGAGCACGTGACTGAGGGCTCCTGGGAGTCGCTCCCGGTGCCTCTGCACCCGCGGGTGCTGGGGACCCTGCGGGAGCTGGGTTTCCCGTACATGACGCCGGTGCAGGTATCCGATCCGGGGCCAGATGGGGAAGCGAGGCCGGGAGCCGGGCGGGCACCAGCTTGATCGGACACAGCCTGTAGGTGACGGACGCGGGACGCTAAGCTTGGGGTTCTTATCCCGGCGGCCGCGGCCGCGGCCACGTCTCCAGCTGCCCGGATCCGGCGGCCGGAGGAGAGCCGCGGCTGTGCGCCCGCGCCGGCCTGGGCTGCGGCGGCGCCGGGTCTTGGTTCGGATCCCGGCTCTGCGCGCTGTCGCTGTGAGACCTCAAAGACTTAACCTCTCCATGCCTCGCTTTCCGTCTCTGTGAAATGGTGAAAACAACGTGGCCTGCCTCATAGGGAGTTAGATAAGGCGCGGTAGGCGTGTCACGCGAGAAGCCAGGCGTCCTGGCTCCGTTCATTCAAGAAGCGTTTACTGAGGAGCTGGTGTGTAGCAAGATCTAGACTCGGGGGATTTTGCAGTCTTGGCACCTGCTCCTGGGCCTTCGTTTCTAGAGCAGGAGCCGCGGTGGAGAAGGAAGGATTGACACCGCCTCCCCCGGGGCTGAGGGAGGACGGACTGGGAGGCTGATGACCCGTGGGAGCGGCAGGCGCAGGCGGGCGCTCCTGGGCTCGGCCCCCGGTGCCGCTGAGCGGAGACCTCAGGGATGGGAAGGGGCTGGCCCCGGGGCTTTGCGGGGCAGGTGGAAAAGCCGGTGTCACGCCCTGGGGCTGGCTGGAGGTGCGCTTGGCGCTGGAGGAGCGCCCTGAGTGATGTGGGGTTGGCAGAAGCCAGGGCTGGGGCCCGCAGGAGTGTGTTTGGCTGAGCGTGGCAGGAAGCCCGCGGGTGTGGTGAGAAGGGAGGGGCTGCGACTGCTGTGCGGAGCGGCCCGGGAAGCGTGAGAGAAGCAAGAGGGCCCGCGTAGTCACAGAGGCCAGGGGGGGGTGGGCCGGACGGCAGACTCAGGAAGCCCCAGCGCCGCAGAGGGCCGGGCGGGGGTTAGAAAGAGGGATCTAGAGGGATGGGGCGGGGCTTGTTCTTAGGTGTGACCTTTACCAGGACGAGGGGAGGCTGCTGGTTTATTTTGGTTTTGTTGAATTTGAGAGTTCTGTTCTAGAATGCTGAGTTTGAGATGGCCCCCGCGGTCCCCAGAGGGAGAGGAAGGGAGTGTAGTGCACACAGCTCCCTGTCTCCGTCCTCACAGCCCGGTGTCTGCAGCTGCCTGGCCACCACCCTCCTCACGTGCCCAGATGAGACGTGCTACAAGTAACTTGACACGCTGGATTTTAAAGGAATGGACAAAGCCATGTACAGTGACACTTGCCTGCAGTCTTAGCACTCAGGAGGCTGAGGCAGGAGGACTGTAAATTCAAGGACAGCTTGGCCTATCGTAGCTAGTTTGAGGCCAGTCTGAGCTACATAGTGAAACCCTGTGTCAAAAATAAAACCAAAGCAAAAAAAAAAAAAAAAAAAAGGCAAAAAGAGAAATATCTCATTAATTGTATAATATTGATTAAGTATTGAAGTGACAATATTTTAGATATATTGGGCTAAATAACATTATTACAATTTATTTCTTTTTTTTTTTATAGCTACTATACCTTTTGTTTTTGTTTTTGTTTTTGTTTCTTGAGGCAGAGTCTCACTATGTCGCCCAGGCTGGGCTTGAACTTGGGGCAGTCCTCCTACCTCAGCCTCCCAAGGGCTGGGATTACAGACTTACACCACTAGGCCTGCTTGTTACTATGAAGTTCAAAAGTACGGATGTGATTCACATTATAGCTCTATTGGATAATAGAACTCAGAGTAGGTTCCTCAGCCTGGGTACTGTTGACATTAGGGGTGGAACACTCTTTGTTGTAGGCCTGTCTTGTGTACTGTAGGGTATTTTTCATTGTCCCTGGAATCTGTCCGGCAGAGGCCAGGCACTTTTTCACCTCGGTTTTGTTTTGCTGAGTTGAGATAGGGTCTTTCTGTGTAGCCCAGGCTGGCCTCAAATTTGTGATGCTCCTGCCTCCGCCTCCTGAGTGCTGGAATGATAGGAATGTGCCACCATGCCCGGCTCACCCTGGGCTTTGATCATCAAAAATATCTCCAAGCCTTTCTTGGGTGGAGAGGAGACAGGAGTCACACGTTGGGGATTTGGCCCATAGAGGGTGTGGAATAGTGCGCTGCGTACTGTGATAGGATAGGTGCAGGCTTTGGGGACCAGGAGCGGAGTCCTCCAGGAGTGACCTCTGGGGCCAGCCCTGAATCTCCTTCAGCTTTAGTTGCTTCAGTCACTGACACCAAAGGGACCGTCTTCTTGTGAGACCCGGAGGCCCTCTGTGTCAACTGAGAGAGTATGTTTGAGTCATTTTTCTGCGACACTAGAGCTGGAGGACACCTTTAAACACAGAGCTGGGTGCCTTGGTTGCTCGGGCGCGGGTGTCAGCATGAATTGGTGGCTTCTAACCCGTGCTGTGCAATCTCTCCCCAGTCTGCAACCATCCCTCTGTTCATGAAGAACAAAGACGTTGCTGCCGAAGCGGTGAGTGCGCGAGTCGCCCGTCCCACGGCCTTCCAGGGGGCTTGGATGGGAGCGGACCGAAACCGTCTCCCCTGTGCAGGTCACAGGTAGCGGCAAAACCCTCGCCTTTGTCATCCCCATCCTGGAAATTCTTCTGAGAAGGGAAGAGAAGTTAAAGAAGAGTCAGGTGAGTCACTAACGTGATTTATTGTCACGTGGTCATCAGAGGGCTCAGCACTGGGGAAGGAGCTGCTCAAAACTGAGAAAGTAAACGACAGTCGGTTCTCGTCACTCGTGGGTTCTGTGTTTTCACATTTGCCTCTGTGGTCCTCTGGGCACCCGGGCCGAGAGCACTCTTTGGTCTCCCCGCTGCACTGTAAGGGGGGACCCTTCTAGCTGTCCGCTTAGTGCCCGCCTTTGTATGTTTCTGGGCCTTTTCTTGCTGATTTTGCTGTTGAAATGGCCCCTTAGTGTTTCTTTGTACCGAAAGTGTTAGACAAGCTTCTTTCAGGTTCGCGTCGTAGAGCTGTTGGTCCTTAGTTCAGTGGTCACGAAGCAGTGGTAAACAGTAACTAAGATGTGTTTAAAGCAAACTTCCATAGAACAAGGCACTGATGCATTGATACTGATGTGCCCAGAGACCTGCGGGAACCTGACCCTGTGCTTCTGCGGAGCAGCGGTTCCGAATGCGCTAATTCAGTGGTCACATGTGTAACGACAAGTGACAGGAATTCAGAGCAGCTGATGAGTGCTGTGACCTGGTGCTCTGTGAAAGCCCAGCAAGTGCCGTGTCCCTGGGTACTAGTCCTCCAGGAGAGGGGGTGCAGGCTTGTGCGGTCTCCCCCGGCCCTGCTGACCACACCCCTTCCCCTGGGTAGGTGGGCGCCATCATCATCACCCCCACTCGGGAGCTGGCCATTCAGATCGATGAGGTCCTGTCGCACTTCACGAAGCCCTTCCCCCAGTTCAGGTGAGTTGGATGCTGGTTCCCGACTGCCCTGGGCCATTGTCCGGCCTGACGGCTCACAGTCCACTTCCTGTTTTAGCCAGATTCTTTGGATCGGAGGCAGGAACCCTGGAGAAGATGTCGAGAGGTTCAAGCGACAAGGGTGAGCTTGCTTCCTCTGGCTCCTTGCTGGCCTGGCTGTGGGCCTAGAACCCCAGCAGAGTCCATGCGAGACGTGGGGCAGCACCGGGACATCTCAGGGCCCCTCCTCCGAGCTCTGCCCACCCCTTTCCGCTGCCTAGTGCACCCTGCCCAGCTCCTCTTTGGCTCGGAACCCAGATCTGACCCCGGCGGGCCTTGCTCCCCCGCCCTGTAGCGTGCTGTGCCCCCTCCTGGCCTCCTTCCTCCTGGCTGAGATTGGACAGATTTGACGGCTACGAAACTTGATATTTTAGAAATCACCATTCTCAAGTTCCAGATCATGTGGCAAATGTTACCTTTCTTCCCCAAGAGGGAACATTGTTGTGGCGACACCAGGCCGCCTGGAGGACATGTTCCGGAGGAAGGCGGAGGGCTTGGACCTGGCCAGCTGTGTGCGGGCCCTGGACGTCCTGGTGCTGGATGAAGCAGACAGACTTCTGGACATGGGATTTGAGGCCAGGTACTGGATTTTGGGCCCTACTGGTGTGGGCCAGTGGTACTGGTGGAAAAAGTAAAGTGGTTCCTTTATTGCTTCAGGACTGATTTCATTCCGCACTGCAATTTCAGATCACCAGGTAGCTCAGGCCTTTAGATTCTGTCATCATTTCCTTCCAATTCTAGCTTTGATCTTTTTTTTTTTTTTGCGGTACCGGGGATCGAACTCACGACCTTGCGCTTTCCAGGCAGGCGCTTACTAGCTTTGATCTTAAAACATGTTTTCCTTCAAGTTTTTGTTGTTTAATGAACAGTTTTTTGGGGGATATCATTTATATACCGTGTAATGGGCTTATATAAAGTCTAAGGTGCAGTGGGTTTTAGTCTTAAAATTTCTTAATTTCACTCTTCTATTTGTGCCTCTCCCTCCACTGCACTTATTTGCTTATAATTGCATTTCCAGCACTGTTAACTATTTTGTTGGCTTCTCTTCCTGTCTTCTCGTTGTGTTTTGAGACAGGGTCTTGCTATGTAGTTCAGGCTGGCAGTGAACTCACTGTGCCATCCAGGATGACCTGGAACTTGGGGCGATCTTCCTGCCTTGGCCTCCCAAGTGCTGGGGTTACAGGTGTGCACCACCACACCTGACACTTGTCTTTTAAAATATCTATTTAGTGCTCTGTTGACGGCTGGTAGGCGAGGGCTTAAGCACATGCTGTCTTTTCTCAGCATCAACAGCATCCTGGAGTTCCTGCCAAAGCAGAGGAGAACGGGCCTTTTCTCGGCCACGCAGACGCAGGAGGTGGAGAACCTGGTGCGTGCCGGGCTCCGCAACCCTGTGCGCATCTCAGTGAAGGAGAAGGGGGTGGCGGCCAGCAGCACCCAGAAGACACCCTCGCGGCTACAGAACTACTACATGGTGGGCACTGGCGCAGCCCGTGTTCTCGGGACCTGGTGGGGTCACTAGGAAGGTAGATCTGTAAAATACAACCCTGTGGCACAGTGTTGAGGGACAGAGCTAGGACATGCGATCTGAATGACAGGTGAGTGATGTCTTAGGACGCATCTCTGAACCTCCAAGCCCAGCAGACTAGACATCTATATCACACCTGTGTGGGTGTGCGATCAGCGCTGTGGCCTTGAAGTGTCAGGTGGTACTTTTTTTTTTTATTGTCTTTTTGAGACAGGGTCTTGCTATGCAATTCAGGCTGGCCTTGAGCTCATTTTGTAGCCCAGGCTGGTCTCAAACTCACAATGATCCTCCTGCCTCAGCTTCCTGAGTGCTGGGATTACAGGCATGTACCACCAAGCCTGGCTTTGGTGGCACTTTTGTCATCAGGGCACAGCCTGACAGACGGTGCAGGAGATGTGGGCAGACGCTCTCCTTCTGACCTGTCCTTGAGCCCATCGGGCCTGTGGCTGTGAATCCTTGCTGTCCTTTCCCCTTGAAACAGAGGGCAGGTTTGGGGGAGTTGACGGCTTAGTCATGAGGTCAGCAATGTCCTCTCCTCCATTGCTGGACTCAGCCAGGGCTCACATGGCTTTGAGACCCCCAACCCTGGAGTGGGCTTTGCTGTAGGCCCTGGGCGTGGCGGTGTGCACAGACAGGCCCATGCAGCGTGGTGAGGCTCCATGCCTGTGGGCTGGCGATGGAGGCGGCTGCTGCATAGAAAGCTTGAAGATCAGAGACTGCCCTTTGGGAGCCTGCCTGGAACATGTGGAAAGCCCATGCGCTTCTCTGGAGCAAGAGGTGTTAAGGATCCTGTTTCTGTCTGTGGGGGGCGGGGGTGGGTGCAGATCCAGGCTCTGTCCCCTGTGGAGTCACTGGCTGTACTAACCGTCACCACCTGTGAGCGGCGCTGTGGTGCCACTTCCTGGGTGGTTTAGGATGGTGCTCAGGACTCGGCAAGTGTCAGTGCTGAGACACTGCAGACTCTGCTGTGGCCTTCGGCTTTTGCATTTGCTGTGTGACTGCATTTAGAGATGGCCAAGTACACGAGGAGCACTCCAAGCGGAGACTTAGTTCTGCTGAAACCCGGGACTGCTCATGTGCCTTCAGCCTCTCCAGTCGGGACGGAGGTGTGAGTGGCAGTGAAGAGACAGTGTGCTCTGTCTCCACAGGTCCCTGGGGAGTGGCCAGCCTGCCTTTCTGGATGGCCGTGCTCACCTCGCGTGGTGACCTTGGGGCTGGCCGCGGCCTCTCCCGGGAGCCTGTGGGTCACGCACCTTCCTCTAGCGCCTGACCCCCTGGGGCAGAGTGTGCTGGGCCTGAACCTGCATTTGTCCCCTGGAGCTGCAGCCAGCAGGGTCGCTGAGGAGTGCTGGGGCTGGGGTTTTTTGGCCTTGTGACTTAATTAACATTCACAGTCAGCAGGCAAGCACACTGATCATCAGTCTGTCCTATTCCGGAGCAGTGGGGTTTCGTCACACTGAAGGCTGACATGGAAAACAGCTATACGGTTTATTGATTATTTATTTAGGTCTTTTTGAGACAGGGTCTCACTATGCAGTTCAGGCTGGCCTTGAGCTCACTCTGTAGTCCAGGCTGGTCTCGAACTCACAACAATCCTCCTGCCTCAGCCTCCCGAGTGCTGGGAGTACAGGTGTGTGCCACCATATTGATTTTTTAAAGTGTTTAAAAATTTCTCTTTTTTTGTTGTAGGTATGTAAGGCAGATGAGAAGTTCAATCAGCTGGTACATTTCCTTCGGAATCACAAGCAGGAAAAACATCTGGTCTTTTTCAGGTAACTCCTCTGGGCTCCAGTTAGTGGGGCTGGGACCTGCCCCCCCCCCCCCCCCAGTGTGCTGGAGGTCGAAGTCCTGGAGTCTCAGTTCCAGGCAGAGAGGCCTCAGGCTGCGTTGGGCTGCAGGTAACTGAAGGCCCAGCTCCTGTGGCTCAGAGGGGAGGGCTTTGGATTCTCCTGGAGAGGTTGGAAGGCAGGCAGGTCTGACACTGCTTCGCTGTCAACATTCATGTTTCTGCAGCAGCCTTGGCTTCTGCCTTCCTAGGAGTGGCCTGGTGGTCTTCGCTGGGGCAGTGTCAGGCAGTGGGGGCACTAGGAGGAGGGTGCTGCTAGCTGTGTCTCTGCCTTTTCGGTAAGAAGGCAGAAAGCTTTTTCAGGAGCAGCTCTGCCACTGCCGACTTTGGCTGAAGGAAGTGTTGGGCCGTCCCCCACGTCTGCCTGTGGGGTTTCCTGTGGTCACAAAGCAAGGAGCGCCATGCACACTCTTGGGCTGGGTCGTTCCCCCTCTCCTCCACATACACCTGTGTTGGTTTTTGGCAGTGTCAAAAGGTTTTATGTGTGTTTCCAGCCATCTCTCTACCAATGAAACACACTAGCTGCGTGGGCCCTGGCCCACGGGAAGCAGTAAAAGCGTGTACTCATACGCGTGCGCACACACAGATGAAACAAAGGTCACAGGACTGCACTCTGCTAGATGGGATGCATTCTGGTGTTTTCCATTCTATTTAACTGTTAAAATGCTGGCTCAGACCACTGAGCTGATTTCCAAGCCCTTCAGACTACTTTTAAGAACTGGGTTGTCAATGAATATTGTCATTATGTACTGCAAACATGTACTTCGAAAAAGAACTAAGGGTTGCGGCCACCACCTTAATGTACACTCACGTACTTGCGGAAAACAGCAAAGAGCAATGTTCTCCTGGCCCAGCACAAAGCATTTAAAGTGAGAGTCGGATTAGGAGCCCCACAGCCTGTGTGGTGGGAAACTCCCATCCTCTCTTGGTGACCTTCACTTCCTTCAGCTGCCAAAGGATGTGGATCCCTCCCGCTGGAGTTTTAGGAGCAGGCTGCTGGGTAATAAACCACTCAGACACTTACAGAAAGCTGAGCGCCCGACCTGGCCAGACAGCTGTGGCAGAAGTTCCCGGGCCATCTCTCCGGGGCAGTCTTTGTGAGATGACCCTGCTCCAGCCCCCTGTGTACCTTGGTAGACTCACCCCATTAGAGGTACCCAGGATAGAGGATGTACTTGGTCAGAGCTCGGTATTTGCTGAGTCCTTGGAATTCCTGCTAATTGAGGAAGGAGTGTTTCTCCATGAGAAAAGGAGGAATAGTTATGAAATCTTTTGGTTTTATGAGATAGGGTCTTACTGTGTGGCCCAGGCTGGCCTCAAATTCATGTTGATCCCACTGCCTCAGCCTCCTGACTGCAGGGATTACAGGTGTTCGCCACTACCCCGGGCGATTGCTTGAACATCTTTAGACAGTGGGCTACATCCTCAGAGTTTTGATGCATGTTTAAAGGCTTTTGCCAAAAGATTGGCCTTTCATTGGCTGAGAAGATTTCTGGCCCGGAGCTGATATGGATGTCTCTGCGGTCATCCCGCCCCTCGTTCTCCCAAGAGGCTCTGCCATTGGTCCTCTCTCCACATATGTGGCTGGCCGCTGCCTTCCCCAGCTGTAGGACTGGGTCCCTATCCCCCTGCAGCACCTGCGCCTGTGTGGAATACTATGGGAAGGCCCTGGAGGCCCTGGTGAAGGGTGTGAGGATCATGTGCATTCATGGGAAGATGAAGCACAAGCGCAACCAGATCTTCATGGACTTCCGTAAGCTGCAAAGGTGAGCTGGCTTCGCTCCAGACACGGCACCTTTCCTGGCACCAGATGCGCCTGTCTCTCCGCTCCTCACCGCCGGGCCTCTTCCACCTAACGCCCCCTTTCCACGTTTTCTCTGTAGAAGTGGAGCCCCCATTCCCGCCCCGGCTCCCTGTGCACTTGGCTGGGGCCACTTCCGTCCCCGCTGGACTGTAGACCCCATGAGGACAGGAGCACGTGGTTCACACGCGCTCCCAGCCCCCAACCTGGGGTGCAGCAGGCGGAAGTTTTGGTCAGTTTGTCCCTCTGGATGAGACCACCTGTAGGTGGTCAGAGTGGGGACCATGCAGCAGGGAACTGGGTGTCCTGGTGACCACAGCTTGGTTTTGTTTGCGAAAGTAGTCATTTTCTATCAGTCACGGTGCGGTCACACACAAGTCCCCTCCAGGGCCCAGTGACATAGCCAGCTGCAGTTCCTCGGCTGAGGAATGACAGTGTCACCTATTCTCTGAGGTAGCTGCTGAGGGTTAGGCCTGCTACCGTTCAGTTGTGTTTTTCCAGCAGAAACACATGAATTAAAAATAATCTTTTGGGGGCTGGGGATTTAGCTCAGCCGCACAGTGCCTGCCTGGCAAGCGCAAGGTCGTGAGTTCGATTCCCAGTACCAGAAAAAAAAACAAAAAAAACTAAAAACAAAAAATAATCTTTTACTGTTTCCTCCACTGCCTGTTTAGATTGAGAACTTATAAACTTGGAGATTCTTGGGACAATACAAAAATGGAATAAATGCCATCAGTCAGAACAGCTTGCAGGAGAAACTGGAGCCTTGTCGAGGCAGGGACCTGGGAGCTGTGGGGGTGGTGTCCGCGTACTCAGAGCTGTTTTGTCCTCTTGCAGTGGGATTTTGGTGTGCACGGACGTGATGGCCCGGGGAATTGACATTCCTGAAGTCAACTGGGTTTTGCAGTACGACCCTCCCAGCAATGCGAGGTAGGCATGGAACACAGGGCCCCATCTCTACGAAAGTAGCAGCCTGGAGTGTTCAAGGCAGTGTTTTCCATGGCAAAAGTAGGGAGTGGGCCAATTCCCTGGGGCGGCTGTGTCAGTAAAAGGGTCACATTGCAGCAGTAAGAGCTACTTTCAGAAAATGAAAGTTGCTGCCGAAATGGACAATAGATGCTTAAGTGAAAAGAAGACCACCAGATGTGGCCATTGCAGTGATTTTCCCCAAAGGAAGCACATATTCCTAAGAGAGGCTTCCCAATGTAGGGGAGCACTTGTGTCCCCACCCCCAGTGATGAGCCGGCCACTTGGGAGGTGACGGGTCGTCTTTATGCTTTCCATTGCTTCTCGTCTGCTCCGAGAGAAAGGTAGTGATTTTGGTCAAGCGGGACTTCAAGTTGGAAGTAAACATCTCTGAGTCCTGTCTGCCCCCAGTGTCCGTTCACTGCCAGCTGTCCCGGTTCTCCTGCTGGGCAGGGGCCGGGGCAGCACTGAGCCAGGGTCTGATGGTCCCATGGGGCGCTGGCTCCCACCCGTGTCCCCACAGTGCCTTCGTGCATCGCTGCGGCCGCACGGCCCGCATTGGCCACAGCGGCAGTGCCCTTGTGTTCCTGCTGCCCATGGAAGAGGCCTACGTCAGCTTCCTCGCCATCAACCAGAAAGTAAGGCCTCCTCGCTCCGCAGAGAACACCCTTCTGCGGCTCTCGGGATGGCTCAGCAGGACGCATGGTGGCAGCTACTGCGGGGTCTGGGCGAGGGTCACAACAAGAAATTGCATTTTCACGTTTTACTTAGAACACTTTCACACTAAGGAAAATGCTGGGGTTGGATATGGGCTCTGTTTTGTCTCGGTTTTCTGGGTGCTGGCCATGTGGGGCATGCGGGGGTGCAGCACGGGGAGCTGGGGAAGGTGGCGAGCGCATGCCGTGTGCAGTGCCCACTGCAGGAGACGAGGCCCCAGGGGAACGCGGTGGACCTGCTGCCGAAGCTCAAGGCCCTGGCCCTGGCCGACAGAGCCGTGTTTGAGAAGGGTATGAGGGCCTTCGTGTCCCACGTCCAGGCCTACGCCAAGCACGAGTGCAGCCTCATCTTCCGGCTGAAGGGTGAGTTGCAGCTTCCCTCACATGGCTGTTCCTCTGACCCGACTGCATCCACCAAGTGAAACTGCTTCATCTTATTAAGATGTGTGCCACATGGTGGCGGTGATTGATATTTTTAAACATTTTAAAAGGATGTCTTCCTAGGCTTTGAGTAGACACAAACGGGCTACTGGCTGCCAGTTCCTTTTTACTTGGTAGAAATGGAATTAATTTTACTCTTAAGATGAGCCCATGAAGTTAGCAAAGATTTGATTTTGAGGAGTCTTCCACTGTTGATTCCTGAAACTGTCTTTTGGGTGTGCTAACTCTGATGTTTTGGTTTAATTAGATCTTGATTTTGCTAGTCTTGCTCGAGGTTTTGCCCTGCTGAGGATGCCCAGGATGCCAGAGCTGAAAGGCAAGCAGTTTCCGGATTTCATGCCTGTGGATGTTGACACAGACACGATTCCGTTCAAAGACAAAGCCAGGGAGAAACAGAGGCAGAAACTGCTGGAGCAGCAAAGAACAGAGAAAACAGAAAACCAAGGCAGAAGGAAATTCATAAAAAATAAAGCTTGGTCAAAGCAGAAGGCCAAAAAGGAAAGGAAGAAAAAAATGAATGAGAAAAGGAAAAGGGAAGAGGTAAACTTTACAGTTTTCTTTATTGGTTAAATTCTGAACAAGCTGGGGAGGGTGGCGCACTCCTGTCATCCCAGCACTTGGGGGACTGAGGCAGGAGGATCGTTGGGAGTTCGAGACCAGCCTGGGCTACATAGCAAGTTCAAGGCCAGCCTGGACTGCATAGCAACACCCTGTCTCAAAATAAAATTAAAAAGCAAAAAACCCAGAACAAACATTACTGCAGTGGAATCTCTGAGCAGGAGCGGGGCGAGGCTGTTGCGTTTCTGTACTGCAGTGGCGACTAGGGTAGGAACTCGCGGCAGAGTGAGGCACAAATCTCGGCCTGCACTCGCACACCAGGGCTGGGATTCGGTGGTCTGACGGCTTCTCCCGCACACAGGGATCTGACATCGAAGATGAGGACATGGAGGAACTTCTTAATGACACAAGACTTTTGAAAAAGCTTAAGAAAGGCAAAATTACTGAAGATGAATTTGAGAAGGGGTTACTGATGAGTGGCAAAAGAGCAACTGGGACAGAGGACCTGGGGCTGTCTGAGCCGGAAGATGGCTGCTGATTCCAGCACCTCAGGTGACGTGCATGAGGAGACACGGGCCTGTACTGGGGGACAGCGCCGTGTGCCTTGACGGGGGTCAGAGCTTTCGGACACAGTGGAGAATAGCGGCCCCTAGGGCTGGCATTATGAGCAGCTTCACCCTCGTGACTGCTTTGTGAAAATACCAGACCTGAAGACGTCTAAGGAGGAAATGTAACATGATTCTGACAGTCACCTAAGTTTTTTTTTTTTTTTTTTTTTTGGTCTTTTTGAGACAGGGTCTCGCCATGCAGTTCAGGCTGGCCTTGAGCTCACTTTGTAGCCTAGGCTGGTCTCAAACTTGTAATGATCCTCCTGCCTCAGCCTCCTGAGTGCTGGGATTACAGGCATGTGCCACCACACCTGGCTCGGCCACCTAAATTAAAGAGCTGTTTTTTTTCCTGAGATTACTTTATACTTACTCAACATAAAGATACTGACATACACTTGACCAAGTTCCTAGGAGTTTTCAGGTCCCTGACCCATATCTTCTGGGCTTCATTTGACCCTTGATCTCCTGCACAGAGCATCTGCCAAGTAGCAAACGTGCAAAACTTTCTTTTTTGAGAGGGTCTTGCTGTGCAGTTCAGGCTGGCCTTGAATTCGTTGTGATCCTCCTGCCTCAGCCTCCCGAGTACTGTGATGACAGGCGTGCACCACCACACTTGGCCAGGGTTTTTTTTGAGAACCACCCAGTGCTGTTCATTGGTGAGCACCTGAGAAACAGGAAGCTGCGGCAGTGCGGCTCAGGCCTCCTGCGGATAAACCATGTGTCTCCCTGTGCACTGGCGCCAGTGGAGGCCACCGGTGAGGGTTTGCACCAAGGCCAAGGTCCAGGGCCTGGAGGGAGCTTGCAGTATTGAGGCAATGCCATATCAAACCTTCCAATTTATTTGTAAAGATCCTCAATTGGGCCCCAAGTCTAATTTTAAAAAGCTGTCCAGGACCCAACATGTTTAAAGGAAATTTCCATCTTTTACGGATACAGACCCTAGGTTTACACACATTCCAGGAGGAGAGCGGTGAGCCACGCTCCTGCCAGCCTTCTGTGCCTCACAGCTTGTGCCACCTGGCTGGACCCTGCTGCAGGTTCCCGTGTCTCCTGCCTTCGTTTCAAGGCACCGTGTGCAGAGTCTTGGCCACTGTTGGTCACTACGGCAGAGGGGCCTGGCTGTAGATGGGACCCCGCCTGCAGTGCGCATCACTTCCGTGGACACTTTCGGCCAGTCAGTGAGGCGAGCAGGACAGGAAGGGAGCTGGACGCAGGCTTCCGTCAGCAGGGAGTCTACAGTCTAACTTGGGTTTCTGGAAATGGACAGGGACTGCAAGTTTGTGGAAACTAAGCAAGTTTAGGTTTGGTTTTTGGATAAATTTTAGATGGGACTGAGCCACGAATAAAAAAGATACTCCAGGATTTATGATATAGATCCTTTGTCCACAATGTCCTTTAAAAACAAGCTGAGTTTTGTTGGGTGCTCAGTGGAGACGCGGCCGCCAGACGCGGGCGGAGGGAGCGGCTAGAGGTAGAGCTTGATGAGCTCGTCGCTGACTGCTGAGGGCGTGAGCACGCCCAGGTCTGTGAACAGCAGCGTGATCAGGGAAGGAGATGTGTAGTCCACCCACGGGTGCTCCTCCTTCAGGTCCTGCCCGGTCTGCACGGACTTCAGAGTGTCTGCCTTGTACTGTGGGGAGAAGTGCTTGCGTAAGCCGCTGTGCTCTGCACCGGGCAGGGCCTGGCCCCGGCCACAGGGTGGGGAAGGCGGCTTCTGTGGGTGGGCGCGCGGCCTCTGCGGGCCATATGGCGGATGTGGCCGAGGACACAGTGGAACCAGTGCCCCTTGGAGTGCTGGGTGGACCCCTCCGGACCTGGGGAGGGCCGCTGTGTGCCAGGTGCTGGGCCGCACCCGTGGCCTGGACAGGGGCCTCCTCATGTCAGATGCCCCCATGCTACGGCTAAGGAAGCTCAGGTTCAGTGGGCACGGTGACAGGACAGGACAGGTCCATGGTACAGTTGGGAGCTGAGCCCAACCAGCAGGTGACAGAGCAGGGACTGCACCGCCAGCTTCTCTGCCTCCCACAGCCTGCACAGGGTGCAGCTCACATCATGAAGAACTTATCCTATGTGCGGCAGAAAGTGGCAGCGGGAAGTGAAGAACTTCCTGGAACATTCTGAGTATTGCAGTTTTGCAGGGACTCAAGCACCACTGCCCCAGTAGAACTTGCCTTGAACTTATCAGGGACATCCTGCTGGTTCAGCGGGAAGAGCCGCACAAACTTGAAGCTTTCTGCAACCACGTAGAAGGGCTTGTTTTGTGCCTTGGCACACACAGCCATCTGGTTGGTTCCAATCTAGGAGTGAGGGAACATGGAGAAGGGTCAGCTTGAGACACATGCGAAGCGGAAGTGACAGTGGAGGAATCAACATCATACATGTAATTCTGGCTTTGGAATTAAGACCTTTGGAAAGATGCTTGGGACCACTGGTTACCAGGGAAACGTGATCAAAACCATAGCAGTTCTCACATCCTAGGGACTCTGATTCATGTTCATGGGCATGCACAGGGTGAGCTTGCGAAGCCAAAGCGGGGGACGACCCAGGTGACCCCCGGGAGTGAGCTGCCGTGGCATGGTTGGTCCGTGGATGGACACTCGGTGGGGAGTGAGTGGTGCCCTGCTGCACCAGCACTCATGAACACTGAGCTGCAGGGGAAACGGTTGACTCAAAAAGCTAAGCGTGCTACGACTTCATTTGCTGCTCTCCTAGGGACTTAACTGAGGGCCTTGCACGTGCTAGGCGAGCGAGTGCTCTACCACGGAGCTACACCCCAGCCTTTTTTACTTTTTGACACAGGGTCTTGCTAACTCGCCCATGCTGGCCTCAAACTTGTGATCGTCCTGCCTCAGCTTCCCAGAGTGCTAGGGTTACAGATGTAGACCACTATGCCTGGCTGTGAGTCTACTAATGTGAGATACCTGTACCCAGAGTAGGCACAATCACTGCAGATTAGAGGTGACAGGGACTGAGAGGGAAGAGAATAGAGAGTTTACATTCACTGGGTGAGAAGTTTTCTAAACAGCTGTGACACTGGCATGACAGTGTGCATGTACAGTACTTACCGCCCTTCACTGTATGCTTAAAAACACTTCAAATGGCAAGTTTTATGTTCTACATATCTCAAGCATAATTAAACAGTTTTTCATGAAACTTTTAAATTAAGGAATAATTACAGAAGTTGTAATCACATATAAGAAAGTCAAATATGTTCAATTGAAAAGAAAAACTAAATCCCATTTCCAATTAAAGCTCACTTTGTGTGAATATGAATTACACAGACTTAATTTATAGAGCTCAGGGCCGGGGATATAGCTCAGCGGCACAGGCGCCTGCTTGGCAAATGTAAGGTCCCGAGTTTGATTCCAGGTACCAAAAACAAAAAAAAAGAGCTCAGTCTCCAAAGAAGGGAATTTGGCCAGAGTTCAGCTGCCAGTGCAGTGGCTTGGTGAGGCTCAGGGCAGTCCGGAGGAAGGACACACAGCGCTGTCACCCAACTCTGAGCTGCCCACCTTGTTAATGATGCCTCCGTTCTCAACCACGCCTTCCGCACCCACAATGACCAGATCAGCTTTCTCCATGATGTAGCTGGGAAAATGCAAACAAAATGAAGGATCGAGACTTACAGATAGGTAAGAAGACAGGGCACTTAAAAAAAATTTTTTTTTTTTTTTTTTTTTTTTGAGACAGGGTCCCTATGCATTCAGCCTGGTCTTGAACTCATTTTGCAGCCCAGGCTGGTCTTGAGCTTGCGGTGATCCTCCTATGTCTCCTGAGTGCTGGGATTACAGGTGTACGCCACCACACCCAGCCAAAGATCTTTTTTGATCATGACCTCATGCTTTGATAGAAACTTCATGCTGGAACCCAGTACGTGTGCACATTTATATGTGTCTGGAGCCAGAGCTGTGTGACAGCACTTAGCTGCACCAGTGTGGGATCCACTGCTTCTGTTCCACTTCTAGACAAATAAAAATAAACTTTCAAAGCCTGAGGTGATCAGAAGCTGGAATCAAGTGTTTACTCCATTTATTTTATTTTATTTTAATTTTTGTCTTTTTGAGACAGGGTCTCCCTATGCAGTTCAGGCTGGGCTTGAGCTCACTTTGTAGCTCAGGCTGATCTCGAACTCACAACGATCCTCCTGCCTCAGCCTCCAAAGTGCTGGGATTACAGGCATGTGCCACCACGCCTGGCGTGTTTACTCAATTTAATACTCTTTCTTAAGTGTGGCACATGTAACCTCCCAGCACTCTGGAAGGCTGAGGCAGGAAGACTGCAAATTTAAACCCAGCCTGGGCAACTTGGTGAGATCTCACTGTGCAGCCCAGGCTGGCCTCAAATTTGTAGTGACCCTCCTATGCCAGGATTACAGACCACTGACACCCAGCTTTTAAAATGCTTAGTCTGAATCCATTTCTAACTTCCTTCACTATGTATTCTCTTTCCAAGTGGCTGGGGGCACTGTTTTCTCTTGTGAGACACATGGACAGCCCAAGGACATGAGGCTCTGGTATCAGGAGAGAGGCTGCCTGGGCTCTGAGCACAGCCCATGGCCTGGGCATGTTCTTGGCAGGGCTGTAATTGGTAATCTCGCTGCTGGGCGAGGCTGAACCATCAGGGGTATGTGCGTAACTGTCCCATGCACATGCGGGACTGTCCTATTGGGCAGCAGGGGACAGTCCCATCGGGTAGTACAGGCCAGCTCATGGGACAGTCAGGCATGTACTCCAATATTTCAAGGTGACGGGAACTAAAGGGGCACAGGTCACCCTACTGCTGACCCTATCATGACCTTGGCATCTTGCTCTTCAAATAGACTGACACTCACGGACACAGCCCCTCCCTGCCAGCACCCCATGTTTCACATGCACCACCGAGGCCTCACGTAACCAGCGTGCTGGTCAGGGCAGCTGGAAGGAAGAGGCACCCACGGCACAGGCAGGATGGGTCTCAACCCTGCAATCTGAATACCCCCTTGGTGCCAGCCCCAGGGTGGGCAGGACAGGCCGGCATGGCCAGGACACAAAGGCACTTACCCAACAGCGGCATCCAGCACCACAGTGACAGGGACGTTGAGGTGGCAGAGGGCTTTGGCCATTTTCTTACTGAAGATGATATTTTGAGAACATGAGACAAAGGCCAAGAAAGTCCCATGTGATGTCTGTCTGATGAATCACTTAATTTAGACGGCAAAAAACATGTTAGCTTGAAACTCAGTACATAGGAATGTATGAAGGCGCCAGGCTAAGGAGAGGACTGGGGCTCTCTGGAAAAAAGAGCATGAATTTCCAGAAAATTATACTCCTAGGGACTCTGGGCAGGAGACACAGATTCAGGAAAGAAGGAGAAAGCCTGGCTTTTACTATCTCCTGTGAACTACCTACTTCTCAATGGGCCACTGACATCAACAGTCTCTTGCTGTTCCTGATGTAACTCCTTAAACACAACCAAACCCTGGTGTGCATTGCTGTTCCCTGAGGAATGGGGATGGGGCACTCGGCCCCTGAAGGATGGGTCCCCCCTCCATCGGCCCCACAGCACCACTGGCGGCCAGAAGCGAGTGGGAGGATACTTGCCCCGACAGGTCGGGCTGGGACTCCGTGATGTACACGTGGAAGCGCTTCTTGGCTGCCACGGCTGCTTCCAGGACTCGAAGGACCACTCTGGAGTAGGCGTGAGTCAAGATTCGCTGCAGATGACAGAGCCTGGTCAGTGGATGCGCGCTGTTGGCCGTGCAAGCCAGGTTCCCGGCACCCTACGCCTCTGTGTGCCTTCACACAAATTGACCAGAACTGGAAAGGGTCATTGAGTTTCAAGCCCATTTTCAAATTGAAAAAGCTTTTTGGGGGCAGTATGGAGAATTGAACCCAGGGCCTTTGTACTAAGCTACATCTCCAGTCTTTTTTATTCTGAGATGGGGTCTTTCTAAATTACCCAAGCTGGACTGGGCTTTGGGATCCTCCTGCCTCAGCCTCCCAGAGTGCTGGGATTATAATTGTGTGCTACCACACCCAGGTCTGTCATTTATTTAATAGTGTACTCCAAAGACTCAGAAGGACACAATAAAACAGAAGAGGTAAGAGTCAGGAAGCAAGTCAGTACTTTTATGGTGAGCAGGGGTTGAGCTGGCACTAGGAGAGATGTCAGCAGAGTTTTATCACCCTGTGCCGGGAGCCTGGCTGCACTCGCAGCTCCTGCCCTTCCGCACTATGAATGCTCAGCAGCTCGGCCCTGCTGTATAAGCGTCAGAAATGAAGTTACAAGGAAATCTCCATCCAGGGGCAACCATCGCTGGGAGCATGCTGGGTGTTAATCAGTGAAAGGAGCTGTGTGGATTTAATGAATGGCACAGCCAATCCGAAAACCAGTTCTTTAGAAGGACACCTTGCTAGACAAGTGCTCTACGCTCAGTTCATCCCCCGCCCTGTCCCAGGGTACAGTGACAAGTGTCTACAATGATGCCATCTGCACTTACAGAGCACTGAGCCCTTCTTTCCCATCTCATGTAACACTAGCAACAACCCTGATTGCTCCCCTTATTCACAGATGAGAAAACTGCAGCACAGAGAGGTTAAGTAAGCTGCCTGCAGTTACCCAGCAAGTGACAACAGAGCCAGGAGTTCAGCTCCAGCAGTCTGATTCCGAAGCCCTTGCTGCTGATCATTGTGTGCAGCACAGCCTTACCGCCCCGTCTTTGATGAACGTATGGCACAGATCTGCGATTTTATTCCTCGACAGGGATATTCTCCTGAGGAACAGCTCTCCCCTTTCAATCATGATCTTTTTACACTTGGAGTAGTCCTAGGAAGAAAAGAGCAGGAGGAGAGCGGACGGAGGTGCAGCTGAGAGCTGATGCTGCTCAGTAGGGAAGTGGGAAGGTAAGCGAGGGAGCGTGGGGCTTACAGAGTACTCCAAGGAGGTGAGGCTGATGAAGCGGAGGAAGAGCTCCCCGCCGGAGGACACGGCCACCGAGGAGTCCACGCCGCACAGCGTCTCTATGGCATTGGTGAGGTTTGCTCTCAAGCCCTGGATCGTCTCCCCTGCAACGATCAGGCAAGGAAGGTGGCATTCATTTAGGGTCATAGCCCTTGCTGGGTCTGTCATTCACTGATTCACTCATTCATTGGTTCATTCATGGGGTGAATAAGTAGCGGGGGCATCTGTGGCTGGACACTGGTGTGGGTGTGTGGAGTCTATCACTGAACGAGGCTGCACTCTGCTGTACACAAAACCATAAGCAAGGGTGTCAGGGTTGTAGTAGGGAAGGGAAGCAGCAGAACCGTGAAGAATGTGGAGCTTGTGTAACAGGGTGAGGCCCGCTTGGACTGAGCCTGATAAGAAAGGGCTCAGCCGCATAAAGACCCGATGTGAAGGTGCCGGGCACGGACCGTAACAATGAAAAACCCCACAATGGGAATGCGTTTGGTATTAACCACAAGAGGCCAGCAGGGCTGACAGGTCAGTGAGGACAGCAGGGAAGGCCACTAAGCAGCAGAGGCGGATCAGGTTTGCAGGACAGCACAGGGGAGCCTGAGGTGTTCAGGCGTTATGGCAAGCAGAGCAGGAGGACACTGGAGACTTAGGAATGTGGGACTGCAGGCTGGCCCTTCAGGTTAAAGAAGCTGTTATTACTTGGCTTATACAAAATGTCTTGCTACACCCCAATGATTACATGTAAGAGAGTGAATTGGTAGGAGATCACGACAAATGATGTTACCACCTGGATTTATTCTGCAACATCTTCTGTAGGAGCCGCACGGAATCTGGGACAAGGTAGAAGCTCTAGAAACACCTATAAGGTTAAACTATTTAATTTAATTAATTAATTTATTTTAACTTAAACTATTTTACCTTAAGCTCTATGGTTAACGTGACATTAGACATTAGATGATCACTCTTGATTCAAAGCATATCCCATTTATGGAAGGGACCTCAGATGATAACGTGGGGACTCTCTCCAAGATAAAAGGCTTGAAATGGAGGCAGAAGCTGCACCTGGGCTGCATCACCTCAGGCAGGCAAAATGTATCTCTCCCTTTCTACATTTCTAATCATCAGAAGACTTCCCCAAGGCCCAGAGTGTTCAAAGATGACCTTTACCTTTATCTCTCTTCAAGAACTCCAGCAAAGTCCGGATGGCGGCCACTGCCGAGGCCATGTCAGGATCCTCTTTCATCTGAGACTTAAAGTATTCAATTAACTCTGAGAAGGAAGAAAAAAGTGACTCATCACGTTCATTTAGCAGGATGTGAGGACAGAGTTGTTCTTAATGACTGCTGACCTTCCGAAGCAAAATCACTTAGAAATACTATTTTTTTCTGGGTATTTCGTTTCAGAACTATCCTAATGTTGATGTGAATAGATTTTAACCACTTTACTGTTTTGCCAGATCTCATTCTTAAAAAGCTATCCGTGGGGTGTGGTGGTGCACCCCTGTGATCCCAGGCCTCTGGAAGGCTGAGGCAGGATTGCAAATTTCAGCTCAGCTTGGGCAATTGAGCATCTTTGTGAGGATCTGTTTTAAAAGTAAATTAATTTTAAAAAGCTATCTGTGTGCAAGTCATAAAATTTAAGCCCCAGGGCTCAGATAATCTAGTCAATCTTGCTCTTCCTGGCAGTAAGTTCTGAGAGGACCCAAAGTCATTCACCCCTCCAGACAGTCTGTGCCAATTCAAACCCACTCAAACACTCACACACACACACACACACACACACACACACACATGAATTCCACCCACCTTACTTTACTTCTTTTTACACGCACTGTATTATGTTGATTTGCAATTTTTTTTTACTTAATAAAACACCTCGATGACCATAATAGATGAGAACAGCAAAGATGCCTTTTGATTCTACTAACTGATCCAGCGGGGCAAGGATTCTCGCTTGTGCTTCAACCTGAAGACATCGTTGACAGCGAGGCCTGCGCCCTCCCACCGAAGTCTCAAGTTTCGGCAGGAGCGTGCATGGCAGGGGGTTTGCGGACGCTCTCCGGGCCTGCGGATACGGGAGCAGCGAGGGGGATCTACCTGACTAGAAGAAACATAGCCAGGCAGCGGCCAGAAGTTGGACAGCGACTTCCGCGGATCCCTGCCTAGGCGTGAGAGATTGGGGGTACCTTTGTGAGGAGCTCCGCAGTCCCGGCCCGCCCCGACTTACCCTTGTCGTCCATGGTGCCCTCCGGACGGCGAGGCCGGGGGATCCCGAATCACCTGCCCGCTTCTAGTCAATCCGGCGACCGCGCCGGGGGCTACTGACAGCGCGGCGCGCGCCTTACGCCACTTCCGGCGCTTTGGAGGCGGGACCGTGGGTACGGGAGAGTGGGCTGGCCCAAACCATTACGTCACTCGGTGGCGCCGGAAGTCGGGGTGCGCAGGCTTCAGAACGCTCGCCACACGGCTGCTCGCTTTGCTTTGAGAGCAGGGAGTCGCCATGGTTTCTGACGGTGAGGGACGCACAGGAATAGGCCCCAACGCCGGGGCTGGGCGAACGCGGCAGGACCGGGGCCTGCCAAATGGATTGTATCTTAGGGCTGGGCGAAATGGGTTGGTGTTTAGAGGGGTGTCCAGTCTGTCCGTTATTATTATTATTTTTTGTCTTTTTGAGAGGGTCTGCCTCAGCCTCCCGAGTGCTGGGATTACGGGCGTTGCGTCACCACGCCCGGCTGTCCATTTTTTTCAAAAAATATTTTTGGATCGTCTTCTGCGTCCCCGGCATTGTTTTCTGCACTGGGGAAACCGCAGAGAACCTGACGGGCAGGGACACAAGACACTAGGTTATAACCTAGTGGGCGATAGAAGCGATCGGCAGGTAGATAAAATGAATTCCAAAAGGTGACGAGTGCTAAGGACAGTATTATAGGACTCTGTGGTGACTAGGATCAAAGAGGAGCTACTTAGAGTACTGCGAAGTTAGAGTACTGGAGTGGGGGACATCCTGGAGTAAGACTTGAATAGCCTTGCAGACTTTTGCGGGAAGTGCTTGTTAAGAGCAAAAAGGCCCTGGGGCTGTTCGAGTTACCACATTTTAGGGGGCACCTGGCCATACAGGAAGATAGGGAGACTTTCATGCATTGCATTACCAAGTATAAAGCCTTGATATATATATATTTTTTCTTCCAGTACCAGGAATCGAACTCACGATCTTGCATTTGCTAGGCAGGCGCCTTGCCGCTGAGCTAAATCGCCAGCCCCATTGTTTTTGTTTTTGTTTTCAGACAGGGTCTCGCTATGCAGTTCAGGCTGGCCTTGAGCTCACTTTGTAGCACAAGCTGGTCTACCTCAGCCTCCCGAGTGCTGGGATTACAGGCATGCGCCACCACGCCCGGCAGCCTTGATGTGTTGAAGAAAGGAAGCGGGCCGAATAAACTCAGAACTAGCCACATTTGGGCCACTCAGGGTCTTGTGGTCCAATAGTTTGTGCTTCATAGTTAATGCGATGTACATCCATTGTAGGGTCTTAAGCAAAGAATTGTGCTTGATTTACAATGCTAAAAGATCACTTTGGGACTGCAGATTTTGCAGAGTGGTAGAGCACTTGCCTAGGATGCGTGAGGCCCTCGGTTCCATTCCCAGCACTGAGAACAATCACTTTGGCTGCTGTGTGGAGAAATGGACCGGGTCAGGCCTAGCATTGCTGGTCTAAACGTGAGGTGGAGACCTGCAGGAGGAAATTCACAGGGACACTGCTCCTCCATCAATAAACACTTCCAACTAGCAACACTTTCTCTTTTGCTCTTTGGTAGTAACAAGGTCCTGAGAGTTGTAGGGCAAGGCCTGATGGGAAGTTAAGGCCAGAGGCTGAAGGGGCTTGGGGGAGACCTGTGCCAGACACAATTACATTTTTTCTTTTTTTTTTTTTGGTTTTTCTCCGGTACCAGGAACCGAACTCACGACCTTGCACTTGCCAGGCAAGTGCTTTGCCGCTGAGCTAAATCCCCAGCCCCACATTTTTTCTTTTCAGACACAATTAGTAAGTGCTTCTGTGGGTGGCACTTTGTTGTGTGATTTACACACATATTATTTCAACCTAGGATTAGCGGAAAGCATCATCTCCCCCTCTTTGTGTAGGACTGGGGATCGAACCCAGGGCCTCGTGCATGCTAGGCTAGAGCTTGGCCACGGAACTCCATCCCCAGCCCCGACATTCCTTACAGAGTCCACAGTGCAGGAGGGCCGCCTGGGAAGAGCAATCGGAAACACCCAACTGACTAAAATCGGCTGCTGGGGAGTGTTCTGTGGTTAGAGGGTCGGTTATGTTGCGGGTCGTCGGGTAGGCAGGGGTACCGTGCAGGGTCATGGTACTGAGCATCAGCAGATTGGTTTCTCTACTTTCTAAGAATCTGTGTGACTCAGGGCAAATTACTTCCATTTGCACAATAGGACTAGCATGTATCAGATTTCATGTAACGTAAAACAGTGTGGGTTAGGAAATACGCCTTTATCTAAGGTAGCACCAAGACCGGGTGTGGTGGCACATGACTGTAATACTAACATTCAGGAGGCTGAGGCAGGAGAATCGATGCAAGTCCAAGGCCAGCCTGGGCTCCATACTGATTTCCAGGCCAATCTGAACTATATACTGAAACCCTGTCTCAAAAAAACAAAAACAAGTAAAAAAAAAGACAAAAGAAAAACCCAGTTGGTTCCTAAACACAATCAGCCTTGTTGCTCTGTGATTGGCTGGACTCTGGGCCACGTTGACTCCTGTCTCCCTGGATTCTAGCTGAAGCCTTGCCCCTGGCATTCCTGTCCGTGGCTATTCAGAGGCTTCTGTCTTTGACCAGGCAGATACAATGCAAGTGCCTTGGGGTTCACTTAGCAGAGATTTACTGAGCATTTGCTATGTGCTAGGAGTTGACAGTAAGTAAAAGCCAAAACAGACAAATTCCCCGCAGTGGCGGAGTTTGCATGTAGTGTGTTTGTGGTACGTGTCCTGGTAGAGGCAGCAGACAGGGCTTGCTAAGGACCTGCTGAGCTTAAATCTTCAAAGGAACTTGGCCGTCTGTTAATGGGAGGGTGTAGGATGTAAACATTTAATGAGCTGTAGTGAATTTAATGTACACACTGGGATTGTTGGCTTTCATTCCCTTCATGAGGCTAAACTTTATTTCTTAAAATTAAATTTAAATTTTACTTCTTATTAATATTTTCAGAAGATGAATTGAATCTTCTGGTCATCGTAGTTGATACCAACCCAATTTGGTGGGGGAAGCAAGCATTAAAGGAATCTCAGGTAAGACAGCTTGAGGACTTTGGGTGGTTCTGATTTAATTTGTTTGTGACTCTACTGCTTTTTTAAAAAATAGCTTTATTAGCCAAGCGTGGTGGTGCACACTGTAATCCCAGCACTCGGGAGGCTGAGGCAGGAGGTTTGCCACAAGTTCAAGGCCAGCCTGGGCTACACGGTGAGACCCTGTCTCAAAAACAAACAAAAGAAAGCTTTATTGAGACATAATTTACATACTGTAAAATTGAACCAATGTAATGTATGATTCAGTGACTTTTCTGAAGCTGTGTAACTGGCTTCACAGTTCCAGTGAGAACATGCCTTTTATCACGTTGAAGTTCCCTCACCCCATCTGAAGTCGACCTTGCTCCCAGCCCGAGTTGCCGCTGCTCCACTTGTCTGTATGTAGTATATGCTAGGTACAAGTCCTTTGTGTGATACATGGTTTGTAAGTATTTTTTTCAGTTTTTATTTTATTTTAAAATTTGGAACAGGGTCTCCCTGTGAAGTTTAGGGTGGCTTTGAACTCACCTGAGCCCAGGCTGGCCTCAAACTCTATGTGATCCTCATGTCTCAGCCTCCCGAGTTCTGGAGTACAGGCATGCGCCACCACATCCTGTTCTTTTGTTGGAAATCAGATGGGCCTCCGGTGTGGCTCTGTGTCCATCTCTGCGCCTGTCCCCCAGGTCTGACTTATACCTGTGCCTGTACATGGATTCTTCTCACTTTATTCTTCTTTTTAAGAATTGTTTTAACCTGTCTAGTTCTTTTGTCTTACCATATAAATTTTCAAATAAACTTGCCCATAGCTACAAAGAAAATCTTTCTGGAATTTTGATAGGGATTATATTAAGTCTATATTGATTTGGGGTAAATTGACAGCGTTACTATGTTAAGTTTTCTAATCTACGAACACAGTATGCTTCTCCATTTATTTGGATTTTTCATCAATCAAGTCCTGTACATCTTTCATTAGATTTACACCTATTTCTCCCTCTTTCCCCTCCCCTTTCTGTCTATCTCTCTGAGCAATTTTAAGTGGGTATTGCTTTTAATTATTTTTTTTTGAATTATTTTTTCTGCATTGCCTTTGCTGGCCTCAAACTTGCTATCCTCCTGCCTCAGCTTCCTGAGTAGCTGGGATTATGGGGATGTGCCACCAGGCCTGACTTCATGTTGCTAGTAATTTTTGTCACAGAAGATGTGACATGTTTGTTGTTCCCTCAGTTCTATGCAGGAAATATTTGTGGAGGGCTGGGGATACAGCTCAAGGGTAGAAAGCTTGCTTAGCATGTGTGAGGGCCTGGGCTCGATTGTCAGTCACATAAATATATTGAACACATTTTCGTAAAAGAAAAAATATTTGTGAACTACTGCTCAGAGGTAGACAATGGTGTTTTGTGAGTAAAATTAGAAAACTCCTTTTCAAGTGTTTTGCGCTTATGCTTTTGGAAGAGGTGCTCCTGAGCAAATGTTTAGCGGTCAGTAATTGTCCAGACTTGCAAAGCAGTGTCGGCCGAGACTGACTGGTGTCTGCCTCTGCCTGTCCGCTTGCGCCGCAGTTCACCCTGTCCCGATGCATGGATGCCGTGCTGGTGCTGGGGAACGCCCACCTGTTCATGAACCGCTGCAACCAGCTGGCCGTGATCGCCAGCCACATTCATGAGAGGTAGGACGGCCGCCTTCGGGCGCCACCTGGGGCTCTGCTGCGCCTGCTCCGTGGTGCCCAAAAACCTTCTCCGTCTCGGCGAGTGGCAGCTACTGTGGGTCGGGGCACCCAGGCCTGGCTCTGCGAGCGTCTCAGGCCACTGCGGCACCACTCTCTGTGACTCCGCTGTGGAGAAATATGGGTTTTCTCGCCACGTTGGTGCCTGAGCCCCAGCCAGCTCCTCGACGATCAGTGACTTCCCTGAGGTCACTGCTTGGCCTGGCCTGTGGGAGTCGCTTGGGGGATGGTGGCCCTGGGGGCGTGGTGGGAAGGGAATTTGGACTGGGTTGGCTTTCCGCTGAGTGTCTGCCTCACTGGGATGCAATCCCGGTGAGGTGCAGCTCTTCTGCCTTATTGCCACGTCACAGCAGCAGCGACTTGTCGGCCAGCGTGTGGTGTGCGTCGTGTGTTGTGTGTGGCGAGGGCAGTGAGGGCCTGGGTTATCTTGGTGATTGGAGTCTTTGGTGGCAGAGGAGCCTGTGGGCCCTGAGGGCAGGCTGCTTCTCCAGTCCCTACTGTACATCTTTCTTAAAACTGGGTGAGCTAGCAGCAGAAGCTTAACAGGAAAATTTTCTTTAACAAAGCAAATCAGGACTGGAGGGTGGCGCAGTGCGGTGTGCTTGCAGGAGGCCCTGCTTCCAGCCCAGCACCGCGGAAGGAGAGAGAGCGTCCTCTGTTTACTGTCAGGGTCAGGACGCACTAGAAGATGCTTCTCCAGAGTCCTGAGAGCCACGTTTATCTTGTGGGTAGATAACATGCACCTCAAATCATAAGCCAGTAGTAAGTTCAATTTGGGTATGAATCTCTGGGTTGTCATCTGAGGGACCACCCGAAGCATTTCAGGAGACTGTCACCCAATACCCTCTTCGTTTCCTCTCATTTTTTTTTTTTTTTTTAGCAAATACTAGAATCATGAGAGCCTTCTGAGGTAACAGGGGAATGTTCACCACTATGCTTTTTTGTTGTTGTTGTTGTTACTGGGATTTGAACTTAGGACCTTGTGCTTGCCAGGCAGTGTGCTACTGAGCTATATCCCTGGTCTGCCTGTTTTATTTATTTATTTATTTGTTTGTTTGTCTTTTTGAGACAGGACCTCATTATGTACTTCAGGCTGGCTTTCAACTCACTTTGTAGCCCAGGCTGGCCTTGAACTCACAGGGATCCTCATGCCTCAACCTTCCAAGACTATGCTTGTTTTAGATAGTGCTTCAAAATGAAGTTCAGTACAGAATCTTGTAAGCCCAATATTTGTGTGATTTTTTGTTTTTGGACAGGATCTTACTATGTTGTTCAGACTGGCCTTGAACTCACTGATGTAGCCTGTGCTGGCCTTGAACTCATAGTGATCCTCCTGCTTCAGCCACCCAAGTGCTGGGATTACAGGCGTGCCTCACCATGCCCTAACGATGTCCCCAGCCCCCTTTTTTTTTTGTTTTCTCCGGTACCGGGAACCGAACTCAGGACCTTGCGCTTGCCAGGCAGGCGCTTTGCCACTAAGCTAAATCCCCAGCTCCCCCAGCCCTTTTTTAAGATTTTGAGACAGGCTCTCACTAAGTTGCCCAGGTTGGACTCAAACTTGCAGTCCTCCTGCCTCAGCCTCTCAGAGTGCTGGGATTTTAGGCGTCTCTGCCTGAATGTTCTACTTAATTTAATGCTTATTGTGAGTGAGCGTGGACAGTGAGCCATCCTGCAACTTGGGCCTTTTCCCTTGCTATTTCAGTCGATTCTTGTATCCTGGGAAGAACGGCAGACTGGGAGACTTCTTTGGAGACCCCGGCAACCCCCCTCCTGAATACAATCCCTCGGGGAGTAAAGACGGCAAATATGAGCTGTTGACGGCAGCCAACGATGTGATAGTGGAGGAGATGAAAGATCTGATGACCAAGAGTAACAGCTTTCATTATTGCTATTGTAGATGCTTTGCTAACCGAGTTGATCTGGCAGGTTCTTAAGGCTGTACAAACGTGAACCTCGTGATACTCCCGCCTGCTTTCCTTTTAGTTTCCATTTCTTGCTTTTCTTTATTCTTGTCCCTTAAAATAAGTTTTTAATTCTACACATGGTTTTCTTCCTTTTTGCTGTGAATGTTCTTGTCTACTTGTGCCTTGAATTATCATCTGTGTTTGAACACTTGCCAGTCTTCGTTTGAAACCCAGCCTTTCTTTCAAGCTCGACTGGAATGTCCCTGTGCCCCCGTCCCAGTCCCACACACACGCCCAGCCTTTCCGTCTTCGCCCTCCGCATGCTGCCGTTTCACCCTCTGTGTCTGCCCCGTCCACCTAATGTTCCCTATTCAGAGCTTTCTTCTCTGAGTCCTTTTTCTTCCTCACGAGTCACAGACTGTGCAGTCCTGTCAGTTTAGCCGCAGAAGCACCTCCACACTGTGACTGTGCTGTCATCGCGTCACCTCTGCTCTGTAGACATCGTGAGCTGGGTGCTTCTCTGTGGTGTGGGCTGTCCTGTGCATTTTGGGGTACTTAGCGAAACCCCAGCTCAACCCAGGTAACCGTGACTTTTCCCAGTCATGACAAACACATACATTCAAACATTGCCGTATATCCCCTGTCAGCACAATCACCCAGGGTAAGGGCTGTTGCTCTAGAGTATTCTAGAACCTTCTTACCATGACCATCCATCTCTGGAACCTTCTGTCATCCTGTAGCCATTAAATACTACTCCCCATTCCCTCTTCCTATTCCTGACCAAACATTGGATATTTATGTTGAGAAAAGGCTAAAAAGCTGTTCATTTAAGCATCACTAAAAACAAATTGCTCTCTGTGGTTTTAAACCCAGTTTGAAGATGTCATTTAGTTTCGTTCCTGAAGGACACTGGTTTGGAAATGACTATTGTTGAAGAAAGTACTTAAAATTCCCTCTTGAATGCTTTTTATATTTGTAGGTGACATAAAGGGTCAACACACAGAGACTCTGCTGGCCGGATCCCTCGCCAAAGCCCTGTGCTGTATCCTTGGTGCCTGCGTGGTGCAGATTTGTCTTCTGTGACCAGCATGTTGGGTTTACGTGTGCTGTTAGCAGTTTGGGTGTCTGTGTTCATGGGAAGCCTACATTTTTAAAAGTGGTAGATAGTAAAAGATGGCTTAAAATTATGGCTTTGAATATATTTTTAAATTTATTTTTTATTTTTTTTTCCTTTCTTTCTTTCTTTCTTTCTTGTCTTTTTGAGACAGGGTCTCACAATGCAGTTCAGGCTGGCCTTGAGCTCACTTTGTAGCTCAGGCTGGTCTTGAACTCACAATGATCCTCCTGCCTCAGCCTCCCAAGTGCTGGGATTACAAGTGTGTGCCACCATGCCCAGCAGGTTTTTTTATTTTTCCTTTGAGAGAGAATCTTACTATGCAGTTTAGGCTGGCCTTGAACTCACTGTGTAGCCCAAGCTGGCCTGGAACTCACGGTGATCCTCTCGCCTTGGCCTCCTGAGCACTGGGATCATGGGCGTGTGCCACCATGCCTGGCTTTCCTAGGTCTACTTTGTTGTTGTTGTTTTGAGACAGGTCTTGTTGTGGAGTTTGGGCTGATGGTGAACTCATTATATAGCCCAGGCTGCCTGACCTCAAATTTGCAGCGATCTCCCTGGCTCAGCCTGCCAAGTGCTGGGATTATAGGCGTGTGCCACCTTGCTTCGTTTATTTGTTTAGAACAGTACTCAGTGATTCCTGTGTCCTGGGCTTAGATTCTGGTCTGCTCATCTCATTTGATGGTCTTGCTGATGTATGTGTAGCCTCAGTATTCACGTCTAGGGCATGGTGGGTAAAACAGGGTAATCATATATTGGTAATTTTAATCATCGGAGACGAAAGGTGATGTCTTGAGGAGATTACAAAGCTTAGTTGGTTACAGAGTTAGTAATTAAAAACCCTGATCACTCTTGTGTATCTGTTATGGTGAATGGAACATGTACAGTTCTTTCAGCTAAGTGGGTGCTGGGTTTGTTTAACTAAAATCTGAGGTATTTTTGGTTCCTATAAATGTTTATGAAATAAAATATTTTTATATTCCTTAATGCTAAGAAATTAAGATATTCATAGAATGAACAAAGAAGTTAAAGGTAGACGTTTGCATTTTCTCTGAGAACTATAATTTTATTCATTTATTTATTTATTTGTTTAAGCAGTGGTTAGAAATTTAATAAGCTACGTTTTCAGTTAAAAATGATTACAACCCTCTGTGTTTAATAGGCTACATTGTTATTTAGTTAAATTTTAATCAGCTTTTATCTCTTTATAGATAATCAAGAGATGAAGTCAAGGATATTGGTAAGATTAAAAACATCAACAGGGCCGGGGAAATAGCTCAGTGGCATAGCACTTGCCTGGCAAGAGCAAGGTCCCAAGTTCAATTCCTGGTGCCAAAAAAAATTCAGCAATATGTTTATATCCAACTTAGACAACTAGAAACTGTGGAGAAAGAAAACAATAGGACAGGCTGGGGATTTAGCTCAGTGGCACAGCGCTTGCCTGGCAAGTGCGAGGTCGTGAGTTCGATTCCTGGTACCGGAAAAAAAAACAAAAAAAAAACCCAAAGACAACAAAAAAAGAAAACAATAGGAGTAAGAACCATGTAGGGTCAACGCAAATGGCAGAGCTAATTTAGCAACCAACATATGAAGAAAAGCAAATTATGAAAGGAAGAAATGGAGAGCCATAGTTTATTCTTAGATGTCAGTTTTTTCCAAAATTTAGTACATTTTGTAAATTTAGTGCAGTCTCACTCAGAAAATCAATCAGATTTTTTTTTCACTAGTAGGGTGAAGAGATTTTTTAAAAATGTAACAATTTGCCTGCAAGAATAAATCAAAGAGAAGAGTCAGGCATTTTCTAAAAGGAAGCACTAAGTAGGAACTTGCTTCGGTAGTCGTTAAAAGACCACAGCGCTACAGTAAAAGTGGGGTATGGGTGCAGCAGTGCGGGTACAGACAGAACATGAGAGAAATTGACTGTTCAGTCCAGAAATAAAGCCAGGTACAGCCGGGAATTCAACTTGTGATGAAGGAAGCACTGCACATTAGTGAGAAGGAAGCGGGTTATTCTGTAAAAGGTGCTGGGCCTGTCCCTTGGCCACCTGGGGCAAAACAGAGTACCCCTCCCCCCCCACATCTACCTAAATCTGTTCCAGTCAAAACGAGATTGCAGGGTAGAAATATGAGTCACAAAAGTACTAGAAGAAAACATCGATTGATAATGTCAAGGGTTAGATAGGTGCCTTAGTAAGCATCTTGTGAAACTTTAAGGAAAGGCTTTATACCTCAAAATCAATCAATCCCTCAAAACAAGGACAAAAGCAAAAGCATTTTCAGCATAGCTGCCTTATAGAAAACTAATGTGCTGTTTTTAAAATAAAAAAGAGCCCTTCTTCCTTAAAAGTCAAGCTTCACTCTAGAAAACCAGGTAGCAAATAAGAGCAGCTTGGGAAAGCTGTGCAAGGACTCCTGGGAAGGTCCCGCCTGAGTGAAGGGCAGGCAGTTGAGGCTCAGCATCGTCATTGTTGCCGACTGTCTGGTGAATGGGGAGGTGGGGTGGGGTCATGGGGGTGTTGGCCCAGGTTCACTGCAGGGTGGGGATGGCTTGTTCTCGAACACCCTGACAAAGCTCCTCGGGCGCGGTTTCTCTGGAGGGTTGTTTGGTGTCTGCAGCAAACTGAAACATACAGTGGGCGTGGTGGTGCACACCTGTATTCCCAGCACATGGGAGGCTGAGACAGGAGGATCGATGCGCGTTTGAGGCCAGCCTGGGCTACAAAGCTAGACCTTTCTCAAACAAAAAACCAAACTGAAACATGCATGCACTTCTGCAGTCATTGATTACTTCCAAGAACTAAAGAGGAGTTGTGCCCAGGATACATCAGGTGTCAGGAGAACACTGCTTAGAACTGAGGCTGGTCCCTGGACGTTCACTCGGGGGTCCTCAGACAGCAAACCCACCTTGTCACCAAGTGCCACCGGGTGCATTCTGTGCCGGTGACATCAGCCCTTTTCCTGCCACACGCTGTGGACTGGAAAAGTGGGCCTGGGGCACTCAGTCGCATGCCGTCCGCCTCCCCCTGCGTGCCTGTGTGTACCTGCGTCCCTGCACAGCTGGATGGACAGCTGGGCGTCAGCCCTTCCCGGGGACCTCTCCCGGTGGTAGGTGAGGGTGGGTTTTTGTCCTTCCACATTGGGCGTTACAGTGACTGGAAGGCAGCGGATGGCCGAGCAGGTGAGGCAGACGTCCAGAGGTGCTGATGTGCCGTGGTTTTCAGGTGATCAAGGCCGCGGAGGACAGCGCCCTGCAATACATGAACTTCATGAACGTCATCTTTGCCGCGCAGAAGCAGGTGAGCTTGGCCTGTCCTTTGCAAAGTGTGTCTCAGAATGAAAGCATTCTGAGATGCTTTCATTTGGTTTGGTCCCTTTCTGCGTTTGAATGACCTGGAGAGGGATTCTGGCTCAAGAGCCTTACGAGTGGCTGAGGGACCCAGAGCCCATCCTGGGTACTGCTCCTTCTGCTGATAGGGTCCTGAGCCCCCAGAACAGTGTGCGGCCGCATGGTTCTGAGCACACAGACGAACACCCGTCCTAGGCCCCCAGGCGAGTCCCTGGTCCCACAGTTGGCACATAAGCCTGGCTTCCATTTCTCTTCTTACTTCAGGGATGCATGTGAAGACTCAGTATTTTTACTTTGCTAATAACTGAATGTCCTGATGAATTACAATGAATATATTTTCTTCTCTGGTATGTTTAAAAAAGAAAGAAAACCTTCTTTAAACTTAAGTTCGAGTTTTGTTTTAAGACAGGGTCTTAAAACAGGGTCTCTGTAGTTCAGCCTGGCCTTGAACTTGTGGCAGTCCTCCAGCCTCAGCCTCCTGAGTGCCAGATGACGGATGTGTGCCATCACGCCTGGCTCTAAACTTCAACTTTAATGCAAGACGCTGCTATAGCCATGCATGATAATTCTCTTATCAGAGCGGGGCACTGGGATACAGTGAAAGGGGACAGTGAGGGTCAGCTGTGCCCCTGCTGCGTCTGTGACCACAGCCAGGCCGGGACCTGGGACCTTCAGCTGGCAGACACAGCCCAACACTGGTATCCGCCTCCCAGAACCCCCACGGGTGCTAAGTGAGCCAGTTCAACATGGAGTCGGCTGCGCAGTGGTGTGCAGGTCAGCGTGGTCACTGCTGTTTCTGTTCCCATCATAACTTTGGAATGTCCCTTGCAGAGTATTTTGATCGATGCCTGTGTTTTAGACTCCGACTCAGGACTCCTCCAGCAGGTATGTTTTCAAAGGGTTCTTGGTGTTGGTAGTTACAGAAAGTAATTTTTATGTTAGAACAGTACTACTTTGAGTAAATTGAGAAGTGTTAGTAAAGTGAATTTTATCTGTTTTCCCCGTTTTTTCTTTTTTGAGACAGGGCCTCTCTATGCAGTTCAGGCTGGCCTTGAGCTCACCCAGGCTGGCCTTGAACTTACAGCGATCCTTCTGCTTCAGTTTCCCAAGTGCTGGGGTTACAGGCGTGAGCCACCATACCTAGCTCTTTCGTTATTTTTTAAATACATTTTTAATTTTAATTGACGGCATCATAGTTGCACATACCTGTGGGTGCAGTGGGGCATATCTATACATGTGTGCAAGGTGTACTGATCAGATAGGGTAATTGTCATATTTTTGTGTTACTATTTAAGCCATTTTAAATCTTTTTTTTTTTCCGGTACCGGGAATCAAACTCATGACCTTGTGCTTGCTGGGCAGGTGCTGTACCACTGAGCTATATCCCCAGCCCCTATTTAAGCCATTTTACACATTACCTGTACTTTTACATATTAAAAAAACAGACGGTTGACTAGTTGTTAGCCGCACCTTTCAGTCAGCGGCGATCGGGCCGCTCACTCGCTGCAGACCCTCTCGCCACCTGCTCCCTGTGCACTAACGCCAGCGCCCTTGCCGTGGTTTCCGGACCCGGCACGTTCGGGGCCGCAGGACATGGGCACCGTCTGGCCTGGCCTGTTGCTGCCTGTGCTCCCAGTGCCTGCAGCCCTCAGGCACTGCAACGCCTGCCTAGCCTCCTTCTCTCATCACACCTGCCCTGCCTGCGCTCAGCCAGCCTGTGGCCCTGCAGCCCCGAGGCAGCACCTCTTCTCTGTGTCTTGCAGGCCTGTGACATCACGGGAGGACTATACCTCAAGGTGCCCCAGATGACGTCCCTGCTGCAGTACTTACTGGTGAGGACAGGACGGTGGCACGTGGTGCTGCGGGGTCAGGGTCAGATGAGTCCTTAGAAGGGTAGGCTGTATGCAACGCGTGGCATGACTGGTTTTAACACAGTACCTGTATGTGTACCTGCTTGGTAATTTTTTTTTTTTTTTGGCTTGGTAATTGTTGAATGAGTAAAAATGCATGTCTTCAGCAGGAATGGTGATGCAGGCCCATAATCCCAGAACTCTGGGAGGCTGAGGCAGGAGGATCTCACATTCCTGCCCAGTTTGCATAGCTTGGTGAGACCCTATCTCGAAAAAAAAAACCACCAAAAAAAAAAAAAAAGTACTGGGAGGGTAGCTCATTACAGAGTCTGGGTTTGGTCCCCAGTACTGGGGGTGGGGGAAGCCTGGACTTTTAGGGAGGTTTTTTTTTTTTTTTGTGTTTATTTTTTTGAGACAGAGTCTTGCTTTATTGCTGAAGTTGGTTTGAACTCCTGTGGGCTGAAATGATCCTTCTGCCTCAGCCTTCCAAGTGCTGGGGATACAGGTCCAGGGCACCAACACTTAGCAAGGAGAATCTTGATTTCACATTGACTTCTGTGTCCTGACCTCTGGCTACTTTTCCCCTACGTTGTGAATCAAAGGCCCCTGGCTTTATGGATTTGTTTTTTACAGTGGGTTTTTCTCCCTGATCAAGATCAGAGAACACAGTTAATCCTCCCGCCCCCGATTCATGTTGACTACCGGGCGGCTTGCTTCTGTCACCGGAATCTCATTGAGATCGGCTACGTGTGCTCTGTGTGTCTGTCGAGTAAGTCCCTGCGCCCCACTCTTCCTTTTCTCCTCGGGGGGAAAGGGCACAGAGCGGCTCACTTATGTCCTCGTTTAAATTTTCAGTCTTCTGCAACTTCAGCCCCATCTGCACCACGTGTGAGTAAGTATCCCAGTGTCCCTGCCCGGGGGGTGTGGGGGTGCTTCCAGGAGGAGGCTGCTTACTGTCCCCTCTGCCCTTTCAGGACGGCCTTTAAGATCTCTCTCCCACCTGTGCTGAAGGCCAAGAAGAAGAAACTGAAGTCATCTGCGTGATACAGCGGGATTTCTTTAAGGCTTTTTTTTTTTGGTCCTGGAAATTGAACTCAGGACCTTGTGCCCGTCAGGCAGGATCTTGGGCTGCTGAGCTGTGTCCCCGGCCCCTTTAAGGCTATTATGACTAATAAGCGTGTGGAAGAACCTTTGTGGGAAGACTGAACAACACAGATCTGTGCAGGGTGGCTTTAGTGTCGCAAGCGTCCCATGGGGCATAGTCCAAAGTGTCACCCCCCTGCGCCGCGCGCATCCTGCAGTCTGGTCTGGCCGGGGGGAAGCGCAGCTTGGTGACTCTGACTTTATCAGTGGGCTCGGTGGTCAAAGCTGGCCTGCCGAGACCAATCCTGGCTCCAGTCCTCTGCCCCGTTCTGCACACTCACTGTGACGTTGGAGCCGGCGCTGGAGGCAGTGAGCGTGTGCAGAGCTCAGCTGTAACAGCAGCAGCACGAGTGAATCGGCATCGCCTTTCCAGTGACCGAGCAGAAATAAAGCCTGTGTCTACCCTGGGGGTCAGCTGCAGATATCGGAGTTTTCTTCTTTTGTCTGGCAGCACCGAGTGCCTGGTCCGTTCTCCCAGTGCTCAGAGTACTCAGTCCCCGAATAACTGCAGAATCTGACTTTCAGCGAGTAGGCGAGCAAGGGCCGGAGGCTGCTTGCCAGTTTTCTTCAGAGACAGCTGTGTGCAGGGCGTGTTTGTGAAAGCTGATGGTCGATTCTGGGGAAAATGACTTACCTGTTGTTTGCACATAAAATTCTGTCATTTTTTAATGGGAAAAAAACACCAGTAGCTGGGCACAGTATCTGCCACCCACCTGTCAGCCCAGCACTCTGGGATGCTGAGGCAGGAGGATTGAAAGTTGCAGCCCAGCCCTGGCAGTTTAATCAGAACCTGTCTCAAAATAAAAACTAAAATGGGCTGGAAATGTACCTCCATGCAGAGGCCTTGAGGTCAATCCTCTGTACAGAAAAACAACCATACATTAATATTGGGGAACTCTTTCTAAAAGTGCTGGGCTGAATACTGAAAAGTTCATAATTTCAAAAGAAGCGTTATTAGCCAGGCATGGTGGTGCACGCCTGCAATCCCAGCACTCAGGAGGCTGAGGCAGGAGGATCATTGTGAGCTTGAGACCAGCCTGGGCTACAAAGTGAGCTCAAGGCTAGCCTGAATTGCATAGTGAGACCCTGTCTGAAAAACACCAAAAAAAAAAGTATCATCCAGTGGCTTTTACTACGTTCACAGATGGGTGCAGCCATCACCCCAAAAGTTCTAGAACATTTCCATCACCCCAAAAGAAATCCCTTTTTCTTTTTTTTTTTTGTCCTGACAACCAGGGATCCACTTCTTATCTCTGGGCCTTCGGTTTTTCTGGACATTTGGTGTAAATGGAATCACATAGCACAGGAGTGTTTGTGCTGGCTTCTTTTTGCTGGTATAATGTGTTCAGAGTTGATCCTGTTGTCACTTCGGCTTGTTTCTAGTGTCCTGGGCAGATCTTTGGGACTAAGCTGTTTATGCATCCTACCCAGCCTTGGCAACCCAGCCAAGCCACTGCTCCAAAATGGCTCCACTCATCCTGCTGGGCTGGGGACGTTTCTCACGGGAGGTAAATGTGGACTCCACCTCAGAGAGGGCAAGGTATGCCTCATAAACCCAGAGCCACCCAAAGCAAACTCAGCTCCTCACAGAACCCTTTTCGTGTGTGCTTTTTTTGCCTGGCACTGGGAACTGAACTCAGGGCCTTTGCACTGAGCTACATCATCAGCCTAGTCTCATTAAATTCCCTAGGTAAGACTCAAACTTTCCATCCTCCTGCCTCAGCTTCCCAGAGTGCTGGGATTATAGGCATGAACCACCCTGCTCAGTACCTGTGTACTCAGAGTGCAGGAATGATGCGGAGGGGAGGGAGGAGCAGGCCCCGGGTATTTACAGAAATGTTTTCCTTCAGGGGGATTTATCTCCCAAGTGTTAATTAATTTGTGGTTTCGTTTTCCCAAAGACAGATGGGGAAAACATACATAAGGCACAACCCTCCTCTTAGTGATGTTGTTCTAGGCTCTGTTCCCAGATACCACGAGATGCCAGCACTTCACAGTTTCTCAGTGAGGACGAGGGACTAGGTGAAATCTCATGCCAATGTTACGACCATAGCAACCTGTGGTTCCACACACACGTAAGAAAAGACCGTGTTTAGTGTAAGACCTTGGACAGCCTCACCTTTCAGAATATTTAGATTGTCTAGTCAATTATTATTATTATTTTGTTTTTTTGAGATAGGGCCTCGATATGTAGCTCAGGTTGGCCTTGAGCTCACTATGTAGCCCAGGCTGGTCTCGAACTCACAACGATCCTCCTGCCTCAGCCTCCCGAGTGCTGGGATTACAAGTGTGCACCACCACGCCTAGTCTGATTAATTATTAAGTAGCTGAACATTTTAAGAATAACAGCACTGGGCATAGTGGCGACACCTGTAATCCCAGCTACTCAAGAGGCTGAGGCAGGAGGATCCACAGATTGAGGCTGATGTGGGTCATTTATTAAGACCTTATCTCAAAAATAATGTAGGAAATAAACCTTTATTTTTTGGTTACCACTGGCCAGGCACAGTGCTGGACACCATGCTAGCTGGACTCCCAGGTAACGGGCCAGCTGTGCCTGAGATAGCGGACCACACACGCAAGCATTAGTTCAGTCTGTGCCACTCGTTGGTCCCGCCCCTTAGCTGTGCTGCGTCTTCCATCCACACCGATCCTACGCGGGAGGAGCTGTTATTATTTCCTTTTTAGAGAGAAACTGATGTTTGGAGAAGCGGTTTACCCACAGCCACCGAATGGATTGTGTGTGGGCAGACCCAAAACCCAGCTGCTCCACCGCAGAGCCCGGCCTCTGGATCGCACAGCTGTAGGAACGCTGAACGTGCTGCCAGACACTGAGGCAGGAAAGCAGTTCGGATACTTTTGCACCTGTCCCACTGCTGGGCCAAGCCGTGTATGTCCCCGCCCCGTACTGGAGCTCGGAGCCAGAGCCTTGCACGTACTAAGCAAGTGGTCTGTCGCTGAGTTATGCTCCAAACCCTTTTTGAGACCTAAAAGGACAGGGTCTCATTAAATTGCTCAGTGTGACCTCAGATTTGCAGTCCTCCTGCTTCGGTCTTCTGAGTAGCTGGGATCACCGGCATGCATCTGGCCCTTAAGCGAGTTCTTTTATTGGGTCTGTTTTCCGAGTGGTGAGAGCTCCGTGCAGTGGATACTCTTAAAAAAAAAAAAAACCCCAAAACCCTGGGAGAACGGTAAGGAACCCAACAGCGCTACACAGTTACAGCGTAGCAGCCTCACCTCTTCTGTCCATTCCCTGAAAACCCCCATAAAAGTCGAGTTTACTAGCAGCAAACCCCACCTCCCTTGTTAGAACCCCAGCGCCTGTAGGCTGGCTGTTGCACCGTGTTGCATTAACTCCTGGGTGGCTGGAAGCGCCGCTTTTGGAACCGCACGTTGGCTTCACTTGTTCAGCGTCCTTTAAAGACCAGAGCTGCTGGAAAGCAACCAGGACGGGTGGGCAGGGCCTGTATTCTCCGGTCCGGAATGGGGGCGGAGTCTTTTGCGGATGGACCAATCACGGTGCGCCGTTCGTCTGGCTGGCGCCCGATTGGTGGTTGCCATAGCCGCGGGAGTTCGCTTGACATAATGGCCGCCGCAGGGCGGTGACTCTCGGGCTTTCCCTTCTGGGCCTTTCGCGGCTTCTAGGGCGCGCGCGGTTGGCGGCATGAGCTTTCTGCCGCCTATTCCTTTCCTGCTGCGGCTCCTTCTGCTGGGCTTCCTGAGGCCGCTGCGGGGGGACCTGGGTGTGTACGACAGGGCAGGGACCTGCAGGGCCCGAGGAGAGGAGACCTGGCTTTGAGGGACCTCCGGACCCTGGAAGCCGCGACAGCCGAAGAGGCCGCCACGCGTACCTCGGGTTGACCCCTCCCTGCTTTTCTTTCTGTCCTAGCTTTCATCCCTCCCTTTATCCGAATGTCTGGTCCTGCGGTCAGCGCATTCCTGGTCGGAGACACCGAGAACGTGACCGTGTCCCTGGCCCCGCTGCAGGTCGAGGCAGGTAGGAGTGCGCCCTTCCTGCCGGGGGTGTCTGGGGCGTCCTGGTCCTCAGCCAAGCAGAGATGGGGAGGAAGTGTGTGTGTGTGTGTGTGTGTGTGTGTGTGTGTGTGTAAACCAAAGAGGCCTTTCGAGAGAACGTGAACTAACAATGGCTTGTGTTGGTTGAGCTATTCCTTGTGCTTCGCATGTAGCATCTCGTTTTCCTAACAGTAATATGCTTCCCTCCCATTTGACAGGTGAAGAAACTCGAGTTCAGAGAGGTTGCCACTTACCCAGTGTCACACAGCTGGTATAGGGATTCTATCCTAGGTAGTCTGACTCTGGTGCACTCCTTCCTTGCTGGACACTGCTTTCTTTAAAAATTTTGGTGGTTTTTTTTTTTTAGATTTTTGAGACAGGATCAAACTCCTAACTCAAACTCCTCCTGATCCTCCTGCCTCTGCCTCCCGCTGCTGGGAGGAGAGGGTGTGGCACCACACCTGGCCGCTCCATGCTGTCCCGCTTCTCCTCTTCTCTCCCTTAGGGGTACTTCCGGTTCCCACCTGTGGACTGCTGAGCAATGAGACGGGAGACTGGAGTGTGACAGTGACTCCCAGTGCGGTACAGCGGGAGGTAAAACCGCGGGGCCTAGAGGTTTCTGCATGTGGTCTCTGTAGCGCACTCTTGGTTTGACCCCTTGTGGCTTTCTCTGAGTTTAGAGCGGCCCTGAAACTGTAGGTGTCACCGTAGACGCCCATCCAGCCCAGGGTTCTGCTGCTAGGATTAGGGTCCTTGAACATGTTTCAGGGGGTCTGTGAACCGTATGAGACTGTGCACGAGACTCTCCCCCTCTCTCTTTCTCTCTCAGTACTGGTGATCAGTTCCAGGCCCTCACACATGCTAGGCAGCTGCTCTACTTCTGAGCTACATCCCCAGCCTTTTCAAAAATTTTTATTTTGACATAGGGTCTCGCTCACATGCTAGGTTGCCCAGGTTGGGCTTGAACTCTTGATTTTCCTGCTTCAGCCTCCCAGAGTGCTGGGATTACAGGATTGATCCACCATGCTCTGCCCTGTGTGCACTTTTCTGATGACAGGGTTACCGGCTTCTGTCAAATTATCAACTGAGTCTAGGTCCCAAAAAGCTTCATAGCTACTGATCTGACCCAATGCAAGTTCTGTGTGAGGACATGCAGCCTTGGGGAGGCTAAATGTTTTCTACTGATGTTTATGGAGTGCCTGCTATGTGCCTAGCATCGACTCTGGAGATAAACAGATGGAGAAGATAGCCTTTGCCGGGACACCTAAGTGTCCAAAGCCTTCTGAGAGATACTGGGGATTATTTTCATGGAATTTTTAGTGTATTTAAACTTCTGCTAGGGGTTGGGCGTGGTGGCGCATGCCTGTAATCCCAGCACTTGGGAGGCTGAGGCAGGAGGATCACTGTGAGTTTGAGGTCAGCCTGGGCTACATCGTGAGTTGAAGGCCGGCCTGAACTGCATAGTGAGGCCCTGTGTCCAAAAAAACAAAACAGAAGCCAAAACTTCCGTGGGAATGGAAACACACTTTAAAAGGTTCCAGACACAGTTGGGGTGATAGCTCAGCGACGGTGTGCTTGCCTAGCATGTGGCCGACGCTGGGTGTGATTCCCCAGCACCCCTAAATAAATAAAACTAAAATAATTAAAAAATTAAAAAGTTCCAGGCAAACTGAGTTAATTTATTAGACCCATGTCTGTCTTCCTCTGAGTATCCAGACGTGGTTTGCTTGGGGAATCCAGGCTTGCTGTTCCCATAGTTCAGGCGTGGAGTACAGAAGAGAATTCTGACATCATTGCTACAGTTCTTGTAAAATAGGCCGGGGCTAATATGCATTAAGGTGTGAAGGCTGGCCTTCCACTCACAGTGTAGCCCAGGCTGACCTCAAACTCACGGTGATCGTCCTTCCTCGGCCTCCCAAGTGCTGGGATTACAGGCGTGCGCCACCACGCCCAGCCCCTAGCTGCCCCTTTTGTTCTCCCTTCCAAGTGCTGATAATTAGAGGTGCTCTTCTGAGGGACTCTGAAAGAGGTATCTTCCTGTCAGGGGGTGTCGGAGGTGACGGTGAGTCTGCAGCGGTGGCCACAACAGTGCCTCTTCAACGAGACGGAGCCCTTCGCGGAGGCGCCGTGTCTGCTCCAGACTCTGCTGCTCTCAGCGGCTCGCAGCCCCGCCTGCCTGGCGCACCTCCTCATTCAGGTGGAGATTTACCCCAGCTCTTCTCCGACCCACAATGCATCAGGCGAGTAAAGTCCTTGTCCAAACGTTGGTGTCGCCAGTCCCCTTCTGATGGTGGAATGTGGCCGTGCGGGCTGTGACACGTGCTCAATTTTACCTGTGAGTCTGCCCCGCCTTCCTAAACTTAGCCTTTGTGTTTAGTTTTCTTATTTTAAGAGTTTCTGTTTTGTACTTTTGTATTTAATTAAGATTTACCTTGTTCTACTGTTTGCAAGTTTTGTAAACCACTTTAAGCCCTTTTTGAGAGAAGGCGAAAATTGTTTCTGTGTTGATACTCCTTCCTCTCTTTTTTTCTCTCTCCCTTTCTCCCCACCCACCTCTCACTTTCTTTCTTGTGGTACAAGGGATTGAATCCAAGAATGTCATACGGGCTACATCCCCAGCACTTTTATTTTTTTATTTTCAGTGGGGATCTCACCAAGTTGCTCGGGCTGGGCTCAAACTTGCAATCCTCTTGCCTCAGCCTCCCAGATTGCTGGGATTACAGGTGTGCACTGTCACATCTGGCTTGTGTGGCTCCATTTTAAGGAAAGGAAGGCTTCATGAGTGAGCATCTTGGAAATTATCAGATTTTGAGAGAAACCTTTGAACATCCAGTTCACCTTTGTAAGAATCAGGTTGCTAATTTATGCTTATAGAAACATGTACTCCTTTCTTTTAAAAATGTACACAATAATAATTCATGATTCACTATTTTATACCTTTTAAAAAATAATATAACTTAGGGATTATTCTATAGGTTCACCTCATCTTTTTTGATTGATCCCCTGGTTTGGGGATCAATTTGGGGGCTCACATGAGCACTGCTCTTGAGCTGCACTGGCAGCTGTGAGGCTGCCTACTTTTTAATGGCTGCATAGTGTTCCAGCAGGAGGATGTACTATTGCTTATGTCCCCAGGCGCCTTCTGATGGCCTTGGGTCATTCCCAGCCTTGGATCATACTCGCGCTGGAGCAAGTCCCTGTGTGCACATGTGTGTACATCTTTGGCCACGGGAAATCGGGTTTGGGTTATTCTCCTTTTCACATGATAGGTGGTGTTCTGACCCAAGAACTGCTCTAGACGAGGCACCTTGGGAGGTCTCCCGTGATCGGGGCCACCCTGTGCCCCACTCCCTGCGACCAACCCCAGTTCCTCTGGCCGTGTTGTCACCAGGGTGGGGGGGCGCAAGGATTCTCCCTTAGCAGCCACAGCCCCACGCAGAGGTGCGTGTGCGGTCTCCTCCCTCGTCTCCCCGCTGACTCCTCTGGAGCGTCCTGGGGAGCCTCCAAGGTGCGGGGCGCCGTGGAGAGCCCAGTGCAGGCTGTCCACACAGCGTGCAGTGGACCTGATACTCCTTCTCTCTTTCTTTCTCTCTCCCTTTCTTTCCCTTTCCTTTCCTTCCCCTTCCCCTTCCCCTTTTCTTTCCTTTCTTGTGCTACAAGGGATTGAACCCAAGGCCTTCACACTAGGCTACATCCCCAGCACTTTTATTTATTTATTTTTATTTTCAGATAGGATCTCACCAAGTTGCCCAGGCTGGGCTCAAACTTGGCAATCCTCCTGCCTCAGCCTCCCAGAGTGCTGATTACAGTGCTGTGATCCCAGCACTGTCAGAAAGGAGTCAAGAATAAAAGAATTTATATGTTCAGGAATATTCCAGAGGGTGATTTGAGAAGCTAAGATTCTGCTACTAGGTCCGGGGGTGATGTGGGACCCAGGCAGGGCTGAGTGAGGACTTTATTTTTTTTTTTAATAGTCTTTTAATTTTTCAAACCATTTATTACCTACTTAAAATTTTGTTGTTACTTCGGAAAATTTTTAATTATACCTGTTGGTACTACATAATGATTACATTCCTTATGAGGAGTTGGTGCCTGTATATGACAGATTGTCCCCTTCTCTCCCTACTCAAAAATCTTTTGAAGAAGTAAAAATATGAAGCTGGTTGTGTTGCCGCTCACTTTTAATCCCAGCACTCAGGAAGCTGAGGCAGGAGGATCACTGAGAGTTTAAGGGCAGCCTGGACTACATAATGAGTTCAAGGTCAGTTTGAACTATAGTGAGACCCTGTCTTAAGCAAAGAAAAGAATAAAATCTCTAAAAAATTTTTTTCAGAAGGAAGCATTCTTCTTTTTTTTTTTTTTTGGTCTTTTTGAGACAGGGTCTCCCTATGCAGTTCAGGCTGGCCTTGAGCTCAATTTTTAGTCCCGGCTCGTCTTGACTTGCAATGATCCTTCTGCCTCAGCCTCCCGAGTGCTGGGATTACAGGTATGTGCCACCACACCTGGCTAGGAAACATTCTTTAATGCTTAAAATTAAAAACAAACATGATCAATAGATGCTTAGAAAACTACAGGAGCAATTGATGGAAGTTGTACCCTTCAGAGCACGGACTTCTGTCTTTTCCTTTGGAAGACATGCCTGAGTTTATCTACGTAATGTTTCGGGGTGTTCTTGTACGAGCAGCTGGACTTCAGAAATGTGGAACTGTGTGTGTTGGTGATCCCAATGTATTCGCGCCGACCCCATGGAGGTGTGAAAAACCTTGCACCCAGTTGACAGAGAACAAAAAGAGAAAAAGGAGAAAAAAACAGACAGGGCGGGAGCTTGCCTGGCAGTAACGAAGGAAGCATAGATGTAGAAATGTAGTGTGAACCTCTGCCTCTGACGGACAGTACCCCTGCTCCAAATCTTCACAGCGTAATGTGGACTGGTACCATTGACACAGGAGGGTTCTTCTATATTCAGTTTATTATTATTGCTGTGAATTTTATTTTGGATTTTTGAGACAGGGTCTTGCTATGTAGCTCAGGCTGGCCTTGAACTCTTGGTGATCTTCCTGCCTCAGCCTCCTGAGCGCTGGGATTAAGGCGTGTATCACTATACCCAGCCCTAACGAGTAATTTTTAGCTAGTTGATTATCTTAAAGATCATACCTGACCCTTGGCCTCACTATAACTAGTTCATCTTCATATTTCATAGCTGTGTCTGTATCTGTAGCTTTGTTGTTGGAATAGTAAGTGCGGTCTCACACCCACTTCCTGTGTTGCTCATGCGCAGGGCTCCTTCGGGGGGCTTTAGTGGTGGTGATTTGTGACATGATGATTCAGCTTTGTTGAGTGTCAGCCGTGGGCAGTGTTGTGTTGGTTCGCAGCTGAATTTTCTCTCGTGTTTACTTTTCAGAGAACGTGACAGTCATCCCTAACCAGGTGTACCAGCCGCTCGGTCCTTGTCCTTGCAACTTGACAGCCGGGGCCTGTGATGTCCGCTGCTGCTGTGACCAGGTTTGTTCTTTCTGATTATTGGGCACAAAGTAATACTGCCAACTGTGTGGTAGCGCACACCTGTCATCCCAGCGTGAAGGAGGCTGAGGCAGGAGGATTGCTGTGTGTTCAGGGCCAGCCTGGGCCACACAGTGAGCTCGGGGCTGTGTTGTGTCACACCTGCTCTCCAGGACTGCTCCGGGGCCGCGAGGCAGCTGTTCCGAGGCGCCTGTTTCCCGGGCGTGTTCGGGGGTGAGGTCAGCCCCCCTTTTGACCAGCTGTGTACGGCGGGGACCGAGGGCCACGTCCCTGACTGGTTCCCCCTCCTGTGTGTGCAGTCGTCGCTTGCCAACTCGCCCTTCCTAGGTCACTTCTATCATGGGGCCATGTGAGTACTGGGCGGGGCCAGTCCCAGGGCCGCCCTGTGCAGGGAGCCCTCAGCTCCTCAGTTTGGGTCGCCTGTTTCCTGTGCCCTAAATGAGCTGGGTGTGGTGCTGCATGCCTGTAATCCCAGCACTCGGGAGGCTGAGGCAGGAGGATCACTGCGAGTTCAAGGCCAGCCTGGGCTACAGAGTGGGACCCTGTCCCAACCAAACAAGTGAACCGAACCCAATGAGGAAGAGTGACTGCAGTGAAGCAGGGGCCCTGGCGTGGGAGTGACAGTCTTTCTTGTGGCTCGCAGTTCCCCAAGACACCGCCCTGGCTTTGAAGCCTCTCTGCACGTTGTCCCCAGACGCTCTGCAGACGGTGGTTACAGACAGGGAGACCCAGTCCGGGCCACGGAGAAGGAGGTGTATTTTACTGTGCCACAGGTAAGCGTTTGAATTGAGATGCGCCACGCTGCTGTTGCTTCCCCCTGCCCTGCTGGCAGTGTAACTCCGTCTCGCTTTTGACTCTTTCTCCCTAAGTTACTTGTGGATTTTCCAGGAACTCAGCTGCTAGTGGCTTTTGGATTTTAAAAAAAGTCACTTTAAAATTAATCGCTGTCTTTGCTAAATCTCAAAAAGAACCTGTAATATAAAGCCCAAAAGATTGTCTATAGGCGCTGGGGATTTAGCTCAGCGGCGCAGTGCCTGCCTGGCAAGTGCGAGGTCAGGGGTTCGATTCCTGGTACCGGAAAAAAAAAAAAAGATTGTCTATAAATTTTTATAGACATTATGATTATTCTTCACTTCTAAGTTTTCTTTTGAGGCAGTCTTACTATGTAGCCCAGGTTGGACTTGAACTCTCAATCCCAACCCTCCGGCCACAGCCTCCTGAGTGCTGGGCTTACGGGTGTGACTGGGGCAGGAGGATTGCCATGAGCTTCAGGCCAGCCAGACTACATGGTGAGATCCTCTCTCAAAAGAGGAAACAAAAGAAATCTAGGGTTTGGGACTAGAACCCAAGCCAGGTGTGTGTAGGGCTCTGGGTTTGAGTCCCAGTATCTAGGGAAGAAATCTGATTATGTTTTTTTTCTATTTTTTTTTTTTTTCCTGGTACCGGGAATCGAACTCATGACCTTGCACTTGCCAGGCAGGCACTGTGCCGCTGAGCTAAATCCCCAGCCCCTTAATCTGATTCTGATGAAGAGAGAAAATGCGGTTGGGTATAACCAAGTATCCATAAACAAAGGCGGGTGGGGCGAGGGGGCGCCCTTGTTTGGATGAGGTCACCACTACTGCTCCGGGTCCCCGGAGCTGGGCTGGCACGTGCCCGAGTGTCTTCCCTGTAGCCGGGCAGCTGTAGGGGCAGGAGCTGAGTCTACACTGGGGGGGCAGTGGCTAAGGATGCGAAGAGGTGCCCATCGGTTGTCGTGATCAGAAGCCAGGCTGTCACCTGCCGGCTTTGTGCCTCCCCCAGGTATCACTGGCCGGGCAGTGTGTGCGCGACGCCCCTGTGGCCTTCCTGCGGAGCTTTGACATGGAATGCACCACTCACCTGGATGCCTACCGAGAGCGTGGCAGTGCGGGCCCCGCCAAGGTCCAGGGCAGCGCTGCTGGAGGTACTGTGTCCATCCTCAGAGGACGCTGGGCTGCGGGTCAGGACAGGGAAGGAGCCCGGGGGAGTGCAGATGGCTTCCAGGGGCTCAGCTCAGCAGGGTTTCAGCTGCAGTGGAGGACGGGGTTTTCTTTGGAAAAGAGCACATTGCATATTAATTCTTTTTTTCTTACATGTGGGAGACTGAACCCGGGGTCTTGGTACTAAGCCAAAAAATTTTGCCAGTCCCTCAGATTTTGAAGCAGGGTCTTGCTAAATTGCTGAGTTATTCAGGCTGGATTCTAACTTGCACTCTCCTGCCTCAGCCTTCCAGAGGGCCAGCATTATAAGCACGTGCTGCTAAGCCTGTTTTTATTTTTAAATTAAAATGTTCACAGCCCTGAATTAAAGTTTATAATGTAGTGCCATCTAGTGACTTACCCCCCCGTCTAGTTCCAAAGCTTCTCACCCACAAAGGAAGCCCGAATGCACTACACAGTCGCTCCCCCTGCATGTCTGCCACCTCTGGCCGTGTGTGTCCCTGTGACTTCCCTGTGCCGGACATTTCTATGCATGGATCACCCAGTAGTAAGCTTCTGTGCCCGGTGAAATGTTTTCAAGGTTCTCCAGGTTGCAGCCTGGGCCATGGCTTCTTTCTCATGGGTGAATAATATTCCACCGTATAGAGAAACTACATCCTCTTTATCTGTTTGTTAGCTGAGCTACATACGTGGGTTCTGTCCATGTCTGGGTTTTGTCCATGTGCTGGTGTGAACACATGTGTCCAAGTGTTTGTGTGAAAAGTGTTTTCATCTTCCTATCATTCCTAGGGGAGAGCAGTACACTGGATGTTTCCACTGACTTTGGCGAGTCTCCCTTGTAATTTAGTGCTAAGAGGAAAAGGACTTTGGGCTGGGTGGTAGAGCCCTTGCCTCACGCGTGCAAGGCCCTGGGTCCCATCCCCAGGGCTGAAAAAAAAAAACCCAAAACCAAAAAGCTAGAATTTTTATGGTCCAGGCATGGTGCTACACTCAGGAGGCTGAGACAGGAGGATCTTGAGTTTGAGGCCAGCAGGGGCTACATAGTGAGACTCTGTCTCAAAAAACCAAAACAATAAAAATGCATGGAGGCCTGGTGTCCGAGGGTGCTGGGGGGCTTTCTCGGAGTGGGTGAACAGCGCCTGTGGACTGCACAGTCCTGCAGATGTTAACCCGTGCGTCTCTTTAGCCCCAGTTACGCCCACGGTGACCTACGAGGAAGCAGCCGACCCGGGCAGGTTCCTCACTGCCACAGGTAGTCAATGTCATGCTTCAGCGTCGTTGCTAGAGAGGCCATGTCCGCTCTCCAAGCTTCATGAGCCCCACAGCAGACGGCGTTTCCCTCCAGGACCCAGAGAAGTCTCCGGAGCCGGCGACCTCTGCTGAGTCCCCCTGCTTGCTTTTGAGCTCCGGAGGCCTGGGTGGGACGGGGTGAGCGGGGCGCTTCCTGGCCACAGGTCCTCGAGCCTTCCCGTGGCCGTCCGTGCGGTGGAACCTGGTTACGCGGGGTGTGGCTGCTCCTCCCAGCCCTGTGTTGTTACAGAGGAGACAGCTGTGTCCTTCTCCTGCCTCGGCCTCCCGGGTGCTGGGATCACAGGCGTGCACCACCGTGGCCTGCGCGTGCAAGTTTTCTTGTATTTGCAGAAGCGCTTCTAAGCAGTTCCTCGGCCCCCAGAAAGGTGACCGTGGAAGAACATTACGTTTTCAGATGGGACAACAACACAATCACGGAAATCAGCGCCAGAATCGTCCGGGCGGAAATCAGTGCCCAGCAGAAAGGTACCTCGCTGAGGCGGCGAGCCACTCCCCGCGGGCATGGCCGCCCTGCTGCAGGTCGCGTAACTGACGCCCGTGAGATGCAGTCAGATTTGTTTTGGTCGTGATTCCTGCGTTTCTGATCCGATCTTCACTTTGGTGTATTTCTAGGAATACTGACACAGAGATTCACAGTGAAGTTTGTAAACCGTAATAGCGGTAATGAGAAGGAATTCTCTGGAAACCCAGGTAAGATGGCTGTGAGTGTCTGTCACTCGTGCTACCAACAGATCCTAATACAGTACTCTCAGAAACTCTCCCCACGTTTAGTTGGTTCTACTTATTGGTTTCATTTTCTTTTTACGTTTTTCTTCTTTAAGGTACTGGGGGATAAACCCAGGGCCTTTGCAATGAGCAACATTCCTAGCCCCTTTTAAATTTTTTATTTTGAGACAAGGTCTTGCCATGTCACTAAGATGACCAGGCTGGTCTTGAACTTGCTATCCTCCTGCCTCAGCCTCCCAGAGTGCTGGGATCACAGGTCTGTGCCACCACACTGCCTCTTTATTCTGAGTCACTGTGTTCTTTTCTGATCGCAGCTTAATTGCTTTATATAACCCATCGTTGCTGGACGTGATGAGTCTTTCTCTTTAGCTCCTGGTCTTTGGGAAGAGACCCTGCATTTGGGATGTTGGCAGAATTAGATTCTCAGGAGAAATGAGCTGTGGATTCTCCATGAGGACCTTGAGCAAGGGACTGGGGACCCCCTGGCACCTTGTGCCTTGTTTGGGTCTTTGTGTGCAGACCTGTCACCCTCTGATTCGTCCCATGTTGTCTGCTCCTTGCCCGCTCGGTGGCTCCTGCGTGCCTATCGCAGCGCGGGGACTACGCTGTCCAGTGCAACTGTCTCTCACCTGCAGGGTGGCAGAGTTGTATGTGGAAATGATAAGCCTCCAGGTAGATCGTAAACCACGTTGTGAAGTAAGATATAGCATCCAAATACATTTCGTCTATTTCTTTAAAATTTCTTTGAGATGTCTCACTGTGGTGCCCAGGCTGGTCTCAAACTTGTGGGCTCAAGCGATGTTCTTGCCTCAGCTTCCCAAGCAGCTGGGCCACTCCCCGCCCCAGCAGATTGAGCCAGGGCTTTGTGCACAGCAGGCCAAGGCACTAGCACTGTGGTCCTCTAGCTCAAAGATTTTTTTTTTTGTTGTTGTTTTTTTTTTTGTCTTTCTGAGATAGGGTCTCGCTATGCAGTTCAGGCTGGCCTTGAGCTCACTTTGTAGCACAGGCTGATCTCAAACTCGCAATGATCCTCCTGCCTCAGCCTCCTGAGTGCTGTGATTATAGGCGTGTGCCACCATACCCGGCTCAAAAACTTTCTTAATTTGTAAAAAATTCTAAAAAGATTTGGTATTTGAAAATCGTATCTGTGGTTTGGAGCAGGACAGGATTGTAGGAGGGCTGTGGACAAGGACCCCGTCGTCAGGCAGTTAGCAGTCCTTCCTAGAAGTCAGCACCAGCTGATGGGAATGACCCAACATACGCTGAGATCACTCATAAATGAGTGGCGGGCTTGTGGCTGGGTGGCCTCAGAGCCAACCACTGAGCCCCACAGCCCTGCATGGAGCCGAGCTGAGCGCTGGAGTCGAGCAGTGAGTGAGCAAGTCCGCGCGCCTGTCCTCCTGCAGACAAGGGCCAAGGGCGATGGAGAAGAGAAAGAAGCCAGACTGGTTTCTCTCCCTGTTTATTCCATGCAGGCTGTGAGCTTATTGGTTGGTGCCATCCACACCCGGGGTGGGGCCTCCCTCTTCTGTGAGCCCAGCACCCACACCCAGGACCACACTAAGCCATCCACTGGGCAGCTCTTACTGAAGATGATATCACAGTTAACCGTCACGTGTGGCCGAGTGGGGGAATAGCCTTAATTTCAGGGACCGTAGGAGGGCGATCTCGGCTATGAGGTGTCGTAAGGGCTGAAGCTTATTTTCAAAATGTCCTGCAAAAAGCCACATATTAGCCAGGCATGGTGGTGCAATCCTGTAACCCCAACACTCGGGAAGCTGAGGCAGGAGGATTGCTTTGAGCTCAAGGCCAGCCTGGGCTCCTAGTAAGTTCAAAGCCAGGCTCAATTACATAGCGAGACTCTGCCTCAAAAAACAAAAACCAAACAAAGAAAAAAAGTGAATATCCTTGTCTGTTAAAAAGAAAACAAAAAACAACGAAGGGGCTAGCATTCCCTCAAGGGTATTTCTTTCCCTCTTTAATGATTAACTTTTATTTGCACAGTTGCAGGACATGATTACATTCATTGCTGTGAGCTGGTCCCTGTACCGAAGACATCTCCGTACCCCTCAGGGGTGTTTTTGAAGAAGCTTTGCCTGCCCTTCTGTCTCGCTGGGCCTTCCTGCCGCAGCCCTGGTGAGGCAGTTAGAGCGAGATGGAGAGACGCTAGAGCTTGTTCCTTGTGTGTGTCCAGGTTACCAGCTGGGCAAGCCGGTCCGAGCCCTGAATGCCAGTGGCATAGGTAACGCTACAGCGCTCCATGTTTGGCAGTCAGGTAATCTGCTTTGGCAGTCCTTCACGATTAACCCACTGGTGGACTAGAATTAGGAATATTTTCCTATTTTGAATCTAATCAAGGAATCTGTTAAAGCCCCATTGATTCATGTAGTGGGAGGGAGGAGGTAGAGGCTGTTTTTCGTGGTTCTGTGGGTTTTTTTTTGAGGCAAGGTCTCATTATGTAGTTTAAGCTGACCTCGAACTCACTATGTAGCTCAGCCTGGCCTCAAACTCATGGTGATCCTCCTGCCTCAGCCTCCCGAGTGCTGGGGTGACAGGCGTGCTCCACCGTGCCTGGCTAAACTTTATTTCTATGTTGTTTCTGCCCTGTTTTTCACAAAAAGCTTTGTTAAACATTTTTATTTTATTTTAATTAATGAGTTCATTTATTTTTGTGATCCTGGGGATTGTACTCAGGGTCTTTGCTCTAAGCCAGTTCCCTAGCCCTTGTTTTATTTTTTTATTTTGAGGCAGGATCTCAAGAAGTGGCTAATTATCCAGGCTCAAATGTGCCATCTTCCTGTGTCACCTTCCCAGAGTCACTAGCATAGGCCTGTACCACCTCGTCCAGCTACATTTTTGCTTTTATTTAGCAGGAACATTGAAGAGGGCATCTTTTCCTTTTCTAGCTGGAAGGAGTTTATGCAGCTCTGCGACTTTCAGGCCTGTTTTATTTGGAGAGAACGTGCAGTCCGGCTGCCTTTTAGAGGTTGGGATCCACGAAAACTGCACTCGGCTCAGGTGAGTCTGTTGAGGAACTGACCTGCATTGTGAGCGCTTTGCTTAAAGCTGATTTGCTGCCGGGCGTGGAGGTGCACGCCTGTCATCCCAGTTGTGGGATGACTTGGGAGGCTGAAGCAGGAGAATCACCATGAGTGCCAGGCCAACTTTGGCTGCATAGTGAGTTCAAGGCCAGCCTGAACTACATAGCAAGACCTTGTCTCAAAAAAAGCAAACAAAAAAAGAATGTTCTAGTTCACCTTTAGGTAGTATTTGGAAAGTATATTTACATATATGTATACACATTCATTTTTCTTAATTGAGGTGAAATTAATTATAATTAGTCACTTTAAAATGAACAGTGCGGTGCCATTTAATACTTTCATTATACCCTTATATAGTTGCAAACATTTTCATCACCAAAAAAGGGACATCTGTTCTGGTTAAATAACCACTCCCTAGTTAGCTCCTCCTCCCCAGTCTCTGGCAGCAAGTAATTTCCTCTTCTGTTGTTTTGTTTTGTGTGAGACAGGGTCTCACTACTTGAATTCAGAGCAATCCTCCTGCCTCAGCCTCCTGAGTGCTGGGATTACGGGCGTGCACCCCCATGCCAGGCATAGGTTAGCGGTATTTTAAACCCAGAGTGAAGAAGGTTGCTACCGCCTGTGCTCCTCTAGCTGTGCAGGCGCGGGCGCAGCTCCCTGGGGGCAGGGCACTGGACAGAAGCGGGCTTGCAGTCCAGGTTCAGTGCCAGGGTCGCTGGCCGGGGGTGCCCAGCAGGGCTGGGCGGACATGCAGGGACCAGGGATCAGGACAGAGCCGCGGAGTCGGGCTGAGTTGCGCCCTGTTCTGCAGGGAGCGTGCGGCTGAGAGCCTGGGTTCATTAGTACAAGCAACGCACGTTGCAGCGAGAGGCAACTCTGATTCCAGCGACCTGACCGACGGCTGGCTGGAAATCCTGCGTGAGTCAGGGCTGCGTGGCGGGGGGCACGCGGATTGCTGGCTGTGACTGCAGTGGCCCTCGCAGCATGTGCCTGACGCACATGGCCACTTTTCATTGCGGGTTTAACTGAACACTGTCCAGGGGTCACCTCCCCAGGCAGGAAGCCCTTTACGTCTCTCACCTCCCATTCATGCTTTTAGTTATTTGTGTATCTGTTTACGTAAGACACGGCTTTACTCTATGGCCCATGCTGGCCTTGGACTCCCTGTGTAGCCCAGGCTGGCCTCAGATATTTGATCTTCCGGCCTTGTCATCCCAAGTAATGGGATTATGCACCACCACAACTGGCCTCTTTTATATCTTTTTCTTTTCTTCACTTTGTTCTTTTCTTTTTCTTTTTGTTTTTGTGACTGGGTCTCCCTATGTAGTTCAGCCTGGCCTCAAACTCATCAAGATCCTCCTGCTTCAGCCTCCCAAGTGCTGGGATTACAGGTGTTCACCACTACATCCAACTTCTTTTTTAATTTTTTTTTTTTTTTTTTGAGGTAGGGTCTTGCTGAGCAGCCCAGGCTGGCCTGGAACTCATGCCAATCCTGTTCTCTCAGCCTCCCATGTGCTGGGGTGGCAAGCGTGTGCCAGCATGCCCAGTAGTCTTTTCTAATTTTAGAGAGGAAATATGTACACAAAGGGTTGAGGGAAGGAGGTAGTCAAAGTACCGAGGGTGGCTGAGACAGGAGGATCCCTGAAGCCAGCCTGGGACACATAGGGAGACCTTGTCAGAAAACAAAACAGACAAAGTAAAGCACCCGAGAAGTAAAAAACACGGGAGTTCCCAGAGAGCCCAGCTGGGTGACCGTGAAACCAGAGAGGTCAGTGTCTCTGTCCCATGGGGGAGGTGTGAGCTCCTTCATGTCTGCGTGCAGGACATGCAGCCTCAACCAGGCTGGTACCCGGAAGTGATGGCCGTATGCAGGTACCGGGGAGCAGGCAATTGGGTGTCCCAGGGATAACGTCCGTCAGCTCCACAGGCTCTGAAGGGATAAAGAGCCCCCCCCCCCGGCCCCCACCACCCGTCACCGCCAGTTCCCCAAGTGCCACTTTCCAAGATGAACAAAAACGAATCCCGCGCTCAATTCTGTCTTCTTCTGTTTGTGTGGCTGCCATGGCAACACACCAGGAAGTTGCTTTTTAAATTTTTTCTTAGTTCACATTTGTGTGCATATGCATTACATTCCGGGGGTCCCACGGTGCAGGAGCACAGCGTGTCTTCATGCCCCGCCCCCGCCACCCTCCACCCACCTCTCCGTCCCCTTAAGGAAATCGCTCTTTATCAGCCCATGTGAACTCCTGTCGGTGGATTTCCCACAGTTTTTACTAGTTATTGCCTGAAATAACTTAAAGTGCTTCTGCTAAAGGGCTGGCCGGATTTCAATAGGCAGCTTGGAAATAGAATCGATTGATGGTTTTATTATGTGCTTTAGGACTTTCAAAATTTCAGCAACTACTTTTCCATACAAGGAAACATCTGAAACACACGCAGTGACATCAAGAGCCTATTAGAGGTGAAGGCCTCATGGTGTGAGTCCCGTCTAAGATCAGTTCCCCCTTTTTTGGTACCCTGACATGAGAAGAAAGCTGTTACTATTCCTTTAAAAATGTGCAACTTCACCTGGGAGTGGTGGCGCCACTCGAGAGGCTGAGGCAGAAGGATTGCCTCGCGTTTGAGGCCACCATGAACTGCATAGCAAGATCATGGCTCAAAAATAAAACATAAGAGGCCCCCCCTCAAATGGGCACCTGCTCCCCTAGGCGGAGATCCCCCCGACACCAGTGTGGACACGGCTGCCAGCGGCCCCCTTGGCATCTGTCCGGCCGTTCCTGCCCAGCTGCACATCCGCATCCTCTTCGCAGACGCTGGCGCAGTGGAGGGCATCACGCAGCAGGAGATTCTCGGCATGGAGACCAGGTGCGGCCCCTCGAGGTCCTTGTGTGGTGGGAGTTGGGGCGGCCGAGGGCGCTGCGGAGGATGGGCAGGTGCTGGGCTGGAGTGCAGTCGTTCGTCCTGATTGCGGTGGTCGGCAAAGCGGCTGTGCCCGTGCGGACCACGTGTGCACCCTATTTGTCTTGTCGGGGACGTCTGTTCCCTCCTGGTACACAGACAGCTGCGTCGGGCTCTGCAGCTCAGCTAGGCCTTCATGGGAGAAGCAGGGCCTTGGTGGCATGCAGGACTGCAGCTGGCATGCGGACCAGGGACACCGCTGGCGGCAACGCGGCCGGCCCACTACTGATCCGTGTGAGGCTGGCAGTCGCTGTGCGTCTCCTGAGCTATGATGTGGTGGTAACATCCTTATGTCACAGGCCTCTCCGAAAAGTGTCAGGGTCCCATTAGGCAAAGAGGAGAGTGGAAAAGCCCGCCCACAGCTCGTTCCTGGGTCCTGGTTCCCATGTGGGCAGGAATCTTTTTCCCTTCCTCTCTCAGTGCCTCTTTCGGTGGGCTTCATTCCTGGGGAGCTCCTCCTCCAGAAATGGCAAGGCCAGGTGTCTGTCAATTCAACCAATCCTGTTGAAGAGAACAGATCTGGGCGGGACCTTTATTGGTTCAGTTTGGGTCATGGACTCCTTTGTGAACCAATCACGCTGGCAGGGGCAGTGGACAGCTCTGATTGGCTAGGCCAGGTGATTGGGGTGGGTACCTTCTGCTCCCCAGAACTTTGAGCTGTGAGTGGTAGTTGGGAAAGCTGGGGTGCAGGTAGCTGAAGAAAGAAGGGATTCTGGGTAGGGCTGAACCCCCGCACCCACCACACAGTACTGTTTTGAGGATTCCATGAGATGGTGTGTATGGAGTACCGCAGCACCGCTCACGGCAAAGAATGTGTTCAGTAAACGGCTGGCTCTTGTTACTGTTACCTTGAGAGAGAAGTTAACTTTTAAAACCCCTGTTCCAGGCGTGGTGGTGCGCACCTGTGATCTCAGCACTCAGGAGGCTGAGGCAGGAGGATCACTGTGAGTTTGAGACCAGCCTGGGCTACATAGTGAGTTCAAGGCCAGCCTAAACTACATAGCGAGAGCCTGTCTCAAAAATAACAGAAAAACAAAACACTACCTCTATAGAATGAGATGGCTGGAGCAGAGGAGAGTTAGTGCCTGTGGTCAGTAATTGTAGCCAGGACACAGGCTGGAGTGTTCATTCCATTCCTCTCCCCTGGTGTCTGCATTTGAAGAATTGTGCAGTGTAAATTTGATCTGCAACCTGAGTAGAGGCCTCACCCTCCTGCCTCCCAGGTTCTCCACCGTGGACTGGCAGTACCAGTGTGGGCTGGCGTGCGAGGACACAGCCGACCTCTTTCCTGTCAGCGCATCCGTCCACTTTATCAAAGTACCTGCCCAGCCACCCCGCCCCCTGACAAGGTAATCACTTGCTGACCCGGTAGACACTGTAAGGAAGCAGAAAAATACAGACTTAAAATAGGAAGCTTACGCCTCAGTCAAGTTCACTGGTCTTCACTCCATACGGGTGTCCTAAGCTTCTAAAATGTTTTGTAGATTTCAGATCAATTTCACAGAGTATGACTGCAACAGAAATGATGTGTGTTGGCCACAGCTTCTATATCCATTGACCCGGTACTATCAAGGTAGGTAAAGCTATTTTTTTTTGAGACAGGGTCTTGCTACATAGCCCAGGCTGTCCTTGAATTCCTGACAGTTCTCCTGCCTCAGCCTCCTGTATACTGGAATCACAGGCCTGTGCCACCATGCACAGCCTGGTAAAGTTGATTTCTGCAGCAGTCATCAGTTAGGCTGTGTCAGCTAAATTTATTTTGTCTTTGTGTTTTCTAAGACATGATCTTGCTATGTAGCTCAGGCTGGCCTTAAACTCACTATGTATTATAGGCTGGCCTTGAATTTGCAGTGACCCTCCTATCTCTGCCTCCCAACTGCTGGGATTACAGGCATATGCCACCACACCTGGCTGTATCGGCTAAATTTAAAAAAAAAAATGTGTAAATATCACAGAAAATTTAAAACTTATAGAAAGATTTAAAAAGAAAAAAATACCAGTACACTTGGAAATGATCATCCTTAACAGTTTGACTTATTCCTACCTGAATTATTAGAAAAATGCCAAGCATGGTCGTGCATACTTGTCATCCCAGCACTTGGGAGGCTGAGGCAGGAAGATCTCTGAGAGTTCTAGGCCAGTCTGAACCACATAGTGAGACCGTATCTCAAAAAAGGAAGTTAAGAAATACTACTGCTGTTTATCATTGCTTTCAGGGGAGCCTTACTCTCAGTGTGTGGCCAAGGGCTTGCTGCTGATCTCCTTCCTCTTGCTGGCTGTGTTCCTCAGTAGTCCCTGGGCAAGGATGTGCAGAGCCCAGTGTCCAGCTGCCGTCTACCATTAGGCCTTCCTCGGGGCCTTACGCCCTTACTCCGGTGGTCTGTTGTTGTCCTGTGTGCGTCTGTCATACTTTAATAAATGAAATGTCTTATTTTCATAGAAAATTCTCATTTGGTGTTGTGTGAGCTTCATTCATTCTTGTAACAATCTGGATGTTCAAAGCCATGCCAAATGCACATGCACTAAAAGCCCTCCTTGAGAAGATCAACTATGTAAATAAATGTTAGAAATTTCAGTTTATCACAGATTCCTAGTTCTAGGGGCTTTTTAAATATAGAGTCAGTCTTTAAATTTTACATACTTGTAGTGATTACATTTCCTGTATCCCAGAGAAGGGAACACATGAGGCCTTAAAAGTGCGTGTAATCCCGGGGGTAGCTGAGTGGGAGAGCACCGGCTTAGCGAGCAGGAGGCCTGGGTTCGAACCCTAATATCGTTTATTGGGCTGGGGGTGTAGCTCAGTGGTAGGCCCTGCATGCTGGGTCCTCGAGACTCCACGGGGCTGTCACGACTGTATCCTGTGCCGCTTGGACTTCCCTCCTAGGGCAGTGGCTGCCGAGACAAGGTGACCCTGCTGGGGGATGAGCCCGGGTGCGATGCAGTGCGGGTGTGCGGGCTCTTAAACGAGGGCACTCGAACTGGAACTGACCGAGCCACCTCTGACAGGGCCTAGGGATGAGGGGGCCAGAGCAAGTTCTCGGGGCTCGGGTGGCTGCCTTGGCAAGGGCAAGACGGTGGGCGTGGCTTGAGCTAAGGGACAGCATCCAGGTCAGGGAGGTGAGGGCTGTGAAGGCCGGGGTCGGGATCTCCCCCGCGGTGTGGATTCTTTTCAGGACGCAGAGAAGCCAGAGATTTTTTTTGAGACAAGTTCTCACTAAATTGCTCAGGCCGGGCTTGATCTTGGGACCCTCCCGCCTCAGCCCTCCCGAGGAATGGGATTACAGGTGTGCGCCGCCACCGTGCCCGGCTGGAAGCCGGAGACCTTAAGCAGGCTGCCGTCGGGCTCTGGCTCGCGGGATGGCTCCGGGACGGGGCGGTTCGGAGGAGGCCAGGCTGGGCCGGGTGGCAGGGGAGTCCCCGGGGATGGAGAGGCCCTCAGTGTGGATGGTAGAGACGGCTGCGTTGCGCCCTCGGTAACTGCACTAGAACCCACAGAACTGTATACCCGCGACGGAAATCCCCGCGCCAAGCCCACTCAAGACGCGTTTCCCAGCCCCGCGGGGGTCCATGCCTACACTCCGCGCGCGACCGAAGCCCTGGGCGACGATTGGCCGGCGGGCAGGGGGCGGAACCGGAACCGGTCGCGGCGGGGGCGGGGCTGTTCCGAGCCGGAAGTGGCGGGGCGGGGCCTCGCGGGCCGCAGCGGCAGGCGTCCGCCTGCCAGGCGGGCGCGGGCTTC